AACCGCTGGGCCGTGATACCGAGCGTGCAGCTGCGTCCATGTTTCTTTGTGCGCGGGTGTTTTTTTTGTTGTTGCTTTTTTTCGATTTTCTTAGCCAGGTGTAGTGGATTTTTTTCTTTCTCCTTCTTTCCCTGTAAGCTACTGCCGAACATTTACTCTCGTGAGCGCTGCCAGGACGTTATACAGGCGCTCTGGAACAGGGAAAAAGAATAATGTTTCGTGTTCTTGCCATGGAGTTGAGGCTTGCGTACTGCAACAGCTGACGCGCAAGGCAAAGCAAGTTGGAAACAGAAATGACGCACACGTACGGATTGTGTGCATTAACGCTATCCAACGCATGTGTGGTCTCGGGGATTAAAATATTTAGCGGGCGCCGGAAGCTGTCGGGGCAAAGCGCGTCTGTTATTGCTTGCAAACGAGTGCAATTTTTTTTCCGCGGATTTTGCGTATCCCATAGTGTGTCTTTTTGTTTAACAACTCCTCTGATCAATTTTTTTCCACTTTTCAATGGGGGTTGGTCCCATCATTCGCAACACAGCTTCACACGAGAGCGGTGCGTGCGCTGCGATTTGGGGGATCCGTACATACCGCAGCGCAGCGCCGACCGCAGCGCCGCCGATCCGCTCTTTTGATAGCTCTCCACCAAAAGGCCCCCCCCCCCCCCCCCCCCCCGATGCGCCGGTGACATTTGAGTGAAACATTTTAAAACGCCGTAGTAAAAGCGGTTCACCAAAATTGTGTGTGGACGGGCGGGGGATGCGCTTCGCGCGCCATTTAGAGAATGCTCCGGTGGTCCTGTGGCGCTCCGCTATCGACGCAATTAAGCCTCCAGAGTGTTTTCATGCTGATAGACATTCCAATTAAGGTCGGCTCGTCACGGCATCACGACCCTTCGAAGTTCGATTCTTCTCCGCACGCCGAAGACCACCGTGTGCTTGTATCAGCGGTAGAATACATTTGCGGGCCGATAGCCTTTGGCCGTTGTTTAATTTTTGATATCGTGAAATTAAATGTCAGTGGTAAAAAAATAATAATAATAATGTTCATTGTGACTGCGAGCCAGAGGGGAATAATGTCATTTCCATGGAAGCCTGAGGCTGCCTAGATTAACTCGGGGAGGTTAGTTTGGGCGATTATGCTTTGTGCGTACGTGCGTGCACGTGTGCAAGACGTGCGTTGCCAAGCGACCCACGAGGTCGCCGTTAATTACGCTTCGGGGCGACAATAGCCGCCCATTGTTGGGCATTGGTAAATTTTGTGGCGGAGAGTCGAAACGGGACCGCGACGGGGACCCCGCGGAGGTTCGTTTCCTCTTCCCTGCGTTGGTGGTTGTCCCCCAGTTGCTGCTCAAATTACGGAAGTCCCCGTCAACTGCGGCCGCTGAAGATAATGGGAAAAATGTTGCACAATCGTGAATATTTAAGCCTCCGTTTCGGTATAACGGCGGTTGATTTTGGCTTTTTTTTTCGCAGCAGTTGGCGTGCTTCGATACGAACCCAGCGAGTTCGATTCCCGGCCGTGGCTGACGCGAGCGGGTATCTGAAACTTCTCCTGGGAACCCACCCACCAAACCCACCCAACCAACCCCACCCCCTCCTTCACGAACACACTGACCAGCGTGGTGAAGCATGATGAAACGAGTAAAATGACTGGCGTGGCGAGACCTTCATCCAGAAATGGATTAACAAAAGGGCTGTCATGCAAAAAAAAAGTTAGTGCTGCATTCAGACTTCAAACCGCATTATCTCTACGGGTGTGTAGGGTGTTTCGTTATAACACCGCGATGACATTCGCGATAGCTCTTAAGTAATTACTTCTTTGAGTGCAATGGGAGCGTAATTTGCATATTCATTCAGAGTCGTGTGCGTCAGCTGGCAAAGAATTCTGGTCCAAAAGGTAAATTGGCTTCGTGGTCCTTGCTGTGTGACTGGTACTTTAAGCGGCAGAGTTGTGCAACGGTTTGCAACCTTTAACCTCCTGCAAAACTCCGTTTGTAGTTTCCACGCAAGCGTGTGAGGGTACTCAGATGCTCGTGGTTCCGCCAAAGCAAAATCGTTTGCGCACTTGTTGGAGACAGCGAGGGCTCAGTGGGTCACGCAAATTCGCGAAACTCCCTCCCCCTCTACCCAGTGTGAGCGTCAAAGTTGCCACCTCCAGTGTGGATAAAGGGGCGACGGCGAAAGTAGTTCCGTGAAGTCGTCTTTCGTTTGCCGTCCTGGCACTGGCCGGTGCACTGGTCGCTGCGATAGCCCCAATGGATTATTGCTTGACTTTTCGATTTGGCACGAGGAGTGCAAATTGAAGATCTCTTGGGCGAAAATCAAAAAGGAACTTTTTGTTAAAAAAAATCCTTAAACCGATTCATTCAGATTGCGCCCACTCTCGCCAGCAGTTCTCAGAAATTGATCATGGCTCAAGCCTGCGTAGTGTGAGTATGGGTCAGCACCATGCATAAACAGGGTGTCGTCCGTCGTAGGTTGCTGCTGCTGCTGCAGGGCTACGTGGTTAGCACAGGGCAGAAGCAGAAATATACACCATTGTACGGTAAGTCCTCGCTTAAACGCGTGGTGTTCACACGGCGCATTTTCTCTATAGTGTTGGCTCTTCCATTCGGGAACGCTTTTCTGACAGCGCGGAATGCGGTCGACGACGGGACTGCTTTCTTGAGCTGCGTGGCTGAACGGAATCTTACAGTAACTCGGAGGTGTACCCTCATCTCGGTTTTCTGTCCCGCCACGCGGCGACTTGCAGGCCGAGTTTGAGGCGCAAGCTGCGATTCAGCAGCTCGGTAATTCCTCGCTGCACGCGGTTTTCGCTGAACGCGACACTTTTCAGGAATGCATCTACTACCGCGCGATTACTGCACTGCACTATGCTCCAACGAGCCTGCTCCCCCACTCTCGCCAGCGCGCTCCAATGCGGTCAAATAGCCCCTGTGACACCCGCATGGTGCGTGGTATGGGGAGGCCCTCATCCAGAAGCGGATTGACAAAAGGACGGTGCGTGTTTTTGCATGTACGTACGCTGAGCTTCTTTCACGGGGAGCTGTAGTGTCGCGCTTAGCGCGCTGCGCTACGAACCCAGCGGCCCGAGCTCGATTCCCGCCCGCGGCCAACGCCAGCGGCGATTATTTCACCCCGGTCCTGGGTCTCCCCTATGGGTGCCTGGTGTGGTGTGTAACCATCAGCACTGGGGAGACAAAGGAGGCTGGTGCTGGCCAACCACCCCCCGATGTGCCGTGTCACCCTTCATAGGTGCTCGCTAATAGCACTTGCCCCGACAGTCTGCTCAGGCTATACGGGGGAGATTTTTGTTTTCGTCTTCTTTTGCACGTTGAGCTTATTTTGCACCGTACGTAGCCAACCGTGCCAATCGGAGGTGCGTGTGTAACCGTACTATTGTTTTTGCCATGGACTGGGCGCGGTGGGTGGTTGGGTGGATGAATGGATGGGTGGGGGTGTGTGTGACGTGCGTACGGGCGGACGAGCGACAGACGCACACAGCTGGCTCGCCGTGGTGTTTCCGTATCTGACCCTGCTCGAGGTGAGGGTGGGGGCGGGCCCGGCAACGGTTGCGTTCGAGCACTTCCATACAATTGCCAATAGCCATGGCAACCGCACTCTCAGCGTAGCGAGATGCGTGCGGCCAATTTGACCCGCCATTTACCGTGGAGGTGGAGTACCAAAGAAAATGGGACCAAAGTAAGTAAGGGGTTGGGGGGACGGGGGGTGATAAAAGTGCAAAGAGCCAAAATGAAAAATAAACACGCAGCGGGGTAAAGATGATGATGATGTAATATTGGGAACGGCGGGAGGGTGAGGATGGGGGGGGGGGCCCATTTGCCGCTTGTCCCCGATGCACAATTTTCAAGCCAGTACCCTGCCATTGCCGCAGTTAGGTTTGGGCAAATGTGCGGTGTCCCGAAGCCATCGCCGCCTTCCGCCGCAGCGTGTTTCTGTTTGTGCCGCTGGCGTCCGGAAGGAGGTGAACGGGGTTGGCTCCCTCGGCGGGCAGCGGCTCAGCGGTGGCTATGAGATGCTAACTGCATCGCCTGGTATGCAGGCGGTCGTGGGGTCCGATCCCCGACCCCTTGACGCCTGCTGTATATTTGGAGTTTGCGGTGTCTTTCATCTCGCGGATGCGTGGATTTTTCTCCGGGTCCTCCGGTTTTTCCCCACCACATTCAAAATCAATGTGCATTCAGAGTATTTGGCTGCTGCTAGAAATTTCTACGAGATGATGATAAGCCACTTCTTTGGGCTATCATGTTTGGCCACCAGGTCGCTGATGAATAAAAGGCTATACAGCTCAGTGGGGCCTTACATGGTAAAAAAAAAATGTAGCACACTGGCGCTGTCAACCGCGGTGGTGACCCAAGTTTGGTTCCCCGCCGATAACACGAGTGGTGAGCGACATCTGAACCGGTCCTGGGTATAACGGTATTAATTATAATGATGATGGCATTTATAACGCGCCAAATTTTGCAGACAAGTTAACAGCTCGGAGGCGTGGAGCCAAAGCTCATGGCTGCTCGAAAAGCCCTGACCAAACGCAGATAAAGAGGCCGTGAGATGTTTCTTGAATGTTGGACTGCATTTGACGTTGCGCATGTGCAAAGGGCTAGAGTACAATTTGCATATCATGTAAATTTATATTTGCATTACATGCAAATGTATCATATTTCTTAGAAATTATCAGTTTAACAAAGCTGCCATTTTTTGTTGAACAATTACACACTTCATAGCACCGCCCCATACGGGCATTTAAAATACGGTGCATCGTTGTGTTACGACTTACGAACGGGGCCTCGGGAACGAAGTGTGTCCGTACGTCGAGGACTGCCCCGTACGGTTAAAATAACCGCCACGACCCGCACGGCGTGGAGTGGGAGGCAGTGGATCGACGGCGGGAGCCGCGAGCGCGCGGGCAGTTGAGGCTTGGAGGATCTTGGGTTCGTAACGCGACGGCCCTGTGTCCCGCGTCGTTCTCGTGTCTTGCAGAGACAGGCCATCGGTCGCGAGCGGAGGCCATGGCGCCCTTCTTGAGGATAACCCTGTCCAAGTACGACCTGGGCACTGCCACCCAAGAGGATGGAGGACAGCCTTTCTGCTCGGTCAACATCAAGGAGTCATTGGACACAGGTGCGTGTGTGTGTGCGTGCGTGCGCACTTGACAGTCCTCCGGCTTTCAAATCTTGTGGAGATGAGGAAAAGCCAATCGTGAACGGAGAAACGGTGCGGGCCCGGAAAAAAAACGCACACAACGATAGTTATTCACACTTTTGGGGGGCTCTTGCCCCCAGGGGGCGGGGGGGGGGAGGGACGGGGGAGGGGCTGGGGAGGCCCCACCACTACCACGTGGTCCCTCCGCTATCTGAGCTCAGTGCCACGTGGGTTTTTTTTTTCGAGGCTGGACCCCTCGAGTAGTATTTTTTTTTATAGGACTCTCCAACTGGAGCTTTTTGCAGTAGGGGGATGGGGGGAAGGGGGTTAAACCTCTTAACAGAAAAAAATAGTGCAGGCAAAAAGAGAACCAACACAAAGATTATTCTTGGTTCTTTCGGTAAAGTCACGTGACTTTAGCGAAAGAACCAAGAAGATGAATCCCTGCAGTCACGAAAGCTTTAAATCGAAATTCAACACAAAGTATTTTTTTGTACAAGTTCCCCAGCTTCCAGATAAAGGACTACTCTTTAGCTTTCAATTGGCCTTGCAATTCCACAGATTTAGATAATTGAATCGATTGGCGGTAGCTCGGGTCAAATATTGGTGGGCCGGGCATAGTTTATGTTTTTTTTCTGGGAGCGTCGCTGGTACTACCCTGTCCTGCCGGAGGGCGACGCTGGGAGCGATGATGACGACAATGTCCATCCCGCCAGCATGACCATGACCGCCGGCCGTACCGAGAGAGCGCCCGGTGCGCCATTGCCTCCAAGTGGTCTCGCTCCCAAAGACAAGGGGGTGGCCGCCCCCGTAAGAAGCAGAACGTGCTGGGGAATGACCAGACCAGCATCCTGATGGTGACCTGGGTCACCGCCATTCGATTAAATTCACCGTACGACTTTCCGGTGGGAATGACGCGAGGCTGTGAGAGGCCCTCCGAAATCGAGTGTCGCCTTTGCAACAAGTGCGGCGTCGAGCTGAAGGGAGCAAGCAATGGTTGTGGGGTGTGGTGGCACTGGACATGGTGACCTCTATGACCTAGACCAATTGCATTGCGTTTTCAGATTTCGGGCAGTGCCTTCTAGGCTTGAGAGCTCCCATATCTGCTTTGCGATGTTAGGGAGTCATTTCTGAATGTAAGTGCACCGCCCCTCTGCTTTTTTGTTTTGCTGGGCGAACTAAGCGAGGCTCGGCCTTGGTCACGTGACAACGCCTGTAGTTTTCCCCAGTGAATTCGTTCCGCGTGAAACGAGCCACTCATGGATGTTTTACAGTGAGAAGAGTGACTGTATGACGGCAATCGCTATTCTCGACAGCCATCGGCACCGACAAAATCAGAATTTAAGTGGGTCCCTTTTTCCGCAAATGACTGTCGCATTGGGCTGTCGGTGTGCAAACGGAAAATAATTTGTACCCGGCTGGTATTGACCTTTATAGACACGTCTGACCGTGTGTTTAGGATCTGAAATGTAGAGGGCAGTCAGTACATACTAGTCTAGACAACCTTTACGCACTTATTTCATGATTGATTTTTTTAGTTTTTGCTTCTTTAAACATGTCTGGTCATTCAGTTTTGCCGTATTACTCGAGCATGCGGAGAGCAAGACTCTTTTGCCCTACAGTTCCATGGCAAATTGGCAAGTGGGCCCGGTAGCACAGGGACAGCAGCCCCACTACCAGACCCAGGATACAGTGTGGCTCACTCCGGCCCACGTCAACTCATTGACTTCACGACTGCTACCGAGGCTAGCCTGGGTGAAAGCGTGCAAGCGTGCAGTTGTCTGATATAAAAATAAAAGTGCGCCTGACACCAGGCAACCTTTCTTTTTTTTTTACTTACCACTTTTTCCACCATGCACGCCGAACCGCGCGCCGAGTGCTGTACCGAGCCGGTCCGGCGCAAGTCTGGGAGGGCAGCACCAGCTTGGGTTTTTTCCACTGCAGAAACCGAGCCGTGCTGCCGGCATCGCACCCCCCACACACATCAAGTCGAACGGCGTGGATTGACTCGGCCCCCGGCCCCTGCTTTGCCCCCCGAGCCGGATGCCGATTGCTCGTGAGGCCGTCGTCGCACGGGTGGCTTCTGGCTCGGCTTGGCAAATAGTCGGTGGAAAACCACCCACACACCACGAAGGAGCGCCCTCTCCAACCCCCACCATGCCTGGCACGGCTCGGATGTGTCGGCGGTAAAGGGGTTAACGTGGTGCCAGGCTGACCCCGGTTGGGACGGCTTTTTATGTACCTCGGACCAAAGCCTGCCAGCCCGGTTCGTGCGCCCGTAGCGCTCGTGGGAACGCGGCATTATCTGCTGCCGTCCGTTCGCTGACATTCGTCGCCTTTTGTTTAAAATGTACGATTCTTACTCACGCGGGGTGGCGGGGTGCACGAGGTGGGGGGGAGGGTCCCAGTGACTCGAGCTGCCAGATGTGGGGTGGGCCGTCTGAACCGCCCATTGGGCACGCTTGATCACCGCGTGACGCACCGACGCTTTGTCGGATCGCGCACAACAAGAGGGGCGGCGAGCGCACGCATTGGGTGGTCGCGGGACGATCACTGCCCCCCACGTCGGGGGTGGGGTGGGTGCTTAGTCAACGAGCTTTCAAGTGACGGGGGGGGGACACCCTCCCACGTTGCTGCCGCGACCTTCCTCGCTCAAACAAATGTGGGCTCGAGTAAGACGATGCTCTTTGCGTGCCGTGCAAAGTGCGTGCGTTTCGCTTGCTCGATCGAGACCAAGCTCAAGTTGTCATCTCGCCGCCCGGCCAACGCATTCCCCCACCCTCTGCGAGTCCTTTTAATGAAACGGACACGCTTTTCTTCTCCCAATTATATTTTGGGCCTGCCGTGTTCCCACAAGCAACCGTGACTCATAAATCAAAACCCCAAGCATGTGTCGCATTGCTGCCAACTTCTGGCCACCTCGGCCCAAGCCCACAGCATTCACTATTCCCAGGAAGCCTCTTGTCTGAGAAACTAACCAGGCTCCAGCCGGCTTAGCTTCCAAGGTCCGACAAGATCTTAGGCATCGCGGTGGCTAGGAGATGTTAACTACCTCGCCTGGCATACCGGAGGTCGTGGGTTCGATCCCTTAGGCCTGATGTATATTTGGAGTTTGCATATTCACCCCGTGGTCGTGTACATTTTCTCCTGGTCTTCTGGTTTTTCACTCTACATTGAGAATCAACATGCGTTTAGATTATTTGTCTGCAATACATTTCCACATGATGAGCCGCTTCGCTGATCTATCACTTGTGATAGCCAGGTGGCTTCTGAAAAAGGGCTCCATAGCTCGGTTGGGCTTTACTTGGTAAATAATAAATAGTACAGTGTGTAAGAGTATAAAGGAGGAAGCAAGTTCATGAGAATATTCACCACAGAGATTGCGTGATAATATCAGCTTTATTGCAGAAGCTGTAGATGGATTGTAGCTTCACAGGCCCCTGGGTAGATGGCTTGGACAGGACTTCATCCAGCAGTGGATCGAACTTGTCTGACGGATGAAATATTATTTATATGTATTGATGATCCACGTATGTATAGTGTGAAACGGTGCACTGATGATCATGATCAGGAATGTGTTTAGGATGTCCTGACTTTTGAGATGTTTTGCTTGGGTTGTTTGGCCAGGCCCTCTTTGTGCCCTCGTTTTCCATCCAAGTAGTCAAGTCGTGGTGCTGGCGGCTGAAGAAAGCATTAATTCCTTCAGTTAACTCATTACTTATGTAGTGACGACAGGGACGGTCGGACTTGAGGCAACACACGTTCATTTACACTTAAGGATATACAGCTTATACTCGAAGAGGTAAGCGGCCCTTTCACCCGTTCTCTCAAGGGAAGTATTCCCAAGCTAGTTCCCACCTATCTTCACACCCCTCCTCTCAAGGAGACTATCTGACCTGGCCCAGCCAAGGCACAGATCCCGACCACCAGCCACACAAATTCGGCCCTTAGAAGGACATCGACCTTCGCGGCTCTGGGGTCGTACCACTGGCTCGCTCTGGCCGGCTCTTAGAAGGGCAGCGATCCAGAGGAGTCCCAGGGTCTGGCTAGCTGGTCTTCAGTCTTCAACTGGTTCTTCTTCTTCTTGCCTCGTTCCCAACTGCCTCTCGCTCTCGAGCTCCCATCTTTTATACGATTTCCCACCGAGGGGCGGGGGGTTCTGTGGGATCCCAGCACCACATCCCCCTCCCCTCGAGAGGGGCGGGGGGTTCTGTGGGATCCCAGCACCACATCCACCTCCCCTCGAGAGGGGGAGGGGTTCTGTGGGATCCCAGCACCACATCCCCCTCCCCTCGAGAGGGGAGGGGTTCTGTGGGATCCCAGCACCACATCCCCCTCCCCTCGAGAGGGGCGGGGGGTTCTGTGGGATCCCAGCACCACATCCCCCTCCCCTCGAGAGGGGCGGGGGGTTCTGTGGGATCCCAGCACCACATCCCCCTCCCCTCGAGAGGGGAGGGGTTCTGTGGGATCCCAGCACCACATCCCCCTCCCCTCTCGAGAGGAGCGGGGGGTTCTATGGGATCACAGCACCATAACCCCCTCCCCTCGAGAGGGGAGGGGTTCTGTGGGATCCCAGCACCACATCCCCCTCCCCTCGAGAGGCTAGGGGTGTGTCATAACCGCCCCGCACAGGTAAGTAATGGGAGTTAGCCGGCGTTGGTGTGCGCGCGTGTCAATACCACCACCACACTTGCAACAAATTAAAAGTCCGCGATGATTCAAAGCCATGCTTTGCACTGCATTGGAGACAAAACAATCGCCATTATAAAGAGCAAAGCCGCATGGCAGTACAAGGTAGAACCGAGTCACGTGTGACAACGACAAGTTTACTTACGCCCACCAGTGAATCAATTTGCAATGCGCTCCTCCTTCATTCTCCATTCTATGGTTAAGGAGTCGTGTTTGAAAAATGTTGGCCAAGCGTCCCAATGTCGGACCGCAGAGCTTGGGCAATGTTTTATTTGGTGGCGCCGGTTCCGGCTGCCTCCCACCGCTTCGTGGTTTCCCCAGCGCTTCCGTGCGAAAAAACTTTGCGCGTCACATTCTTCTGCAGACTTTTCAGATGCACATGTAAATAATAATAATAATTATTATTTTTGTATTGTTATTGCGAATGGCTTTCCTGTCTGGAAACGAATTGGGCCGTCAAGCCACCTGATCACGAGGCCGAACTGAAACGACGTAGAATTCTCCAGTTAGTCCGTTGGGATTTTAGTTTTTCATTGCCCTCCAACTACGGTCGAATAACGGTAACGTGCACTCGCGTGATATCCCGACCGTCCGTCTGTTGCGTGGCTATTCGGGGCGGTGCCCTTTTGTTAAAACGAAAAAAACTGGCCGAATTGGTCGAAAAGGGTCGCCCAAAACCGACGCTTAAAGGGGGAACGAGCCTTGCTCGCAGTGACGGTGACACATTGCGTGCGACGCCACCCTGCGTCATCCACGTGCGACACCATCTCTTTGCCCGCACCTCCGGTTAGCCACGGGTGGCCACGTACGGTGCGAAAAGAAGTTCAACGTACTTGCATCTCCTCGTCGCACGGCCCGGAACGTAATTCGTTTTTTATCTCTAACCTTGACACTTACCGTCACGGAACAACAGCAGCAACTACAACCACAACCACCATAACAACAACAAACGGGCAGGCCCGCACGTGCATGGAAAATTTAGTTTTCGCCCTTCATATATTTCTCGCCCCCCCATGGCAGATCGCGGGAAGACTCTGGTGCAGAAGAAACCCACGATGCACCCCGAGTGGAACAGCAGCTTCGACGCCCACATCTACGACGGGCGCGTGATGCAGTTCGTGCTCATGGTGACGCCCGAGAGGGCGCTCTCCGACACCACCCTGGGCGTCGCCTCGCTCGCCGAGAAGTGCAAGAAGGGCAGCGGCCGAACGGAATTCTGGGTAAGGCTTCGGTGCGGTGGGGCGGCGAACGCGGGGCGGCGCTCCGTCGCGACGTCTCCTCGCGAGCCGCCGTCTCGTGTTGCCCGCGGCCGCTCACGGCTTGCGAAATGATCCTCTAGGATCTGAGGTTGACCGGATGGCTCTTAAGGTCGGAGCCCTGAGCCGTGGCACCGCTGAGCGTTCTGGGTTCTAATCTGGATTTCAGCCACAGCCCGTGATTTAATCCGGGCTCTCGAGTGCCAAGCCAGTTCAGTGTTTCTTAGAGTCATATTTAATTACTGCACCAAAAAAAAAAAAACCACCGCATCAAATTTGAACGTAATTTAGCCGAATGCTCGCGCTGGGAACTGTTTCGGTTCGACTGTTGTGCGTCGAACAAGTACCGTCACGTGGCAGTGTGAGAGCGAAAGCACCGCTCCTGCGCCGACTTTGGAGGATGCTCGGAGGTAGCTCTGTGACGTCCCCACTGCTTTTGTGAGATTGCGACTGGATATTTCGTCTCGTGGCGCGCTAGCGATGGTACATTCGGGGAGAGGTTTAGGAGGTAAAAAACAAACAAACTTGTTTATTTGTAGATGAGATGAGTCGCCCCGAAAAGTAGGCTTCCACAAGCACTGAATTCATCCTGTTATCCACCGGCTCTCTTCGTGGATAAGCAGAAGTCATCCGGGACGGGTAGAAAAGCCATGCCTTTTGTGTGGCGCAAACGTCCCCTGCGCAGTGTAACCACGTGCAGTGTAACCGCCGCTGCCGCCCGGCTATGCTGAGCGTGCCGTTTTTTTTATTTCCCCCAGCTGGACCTAAAGCCGCAGGGCAGGATCTACCTCGTCGTCAAGTACTTTGTGGAAGAAGCAGGTGAGCCGAACGTTTGCGAGCCTCTAAACCATTTCTACCACAATGTGTGTGTGTGCGTACGTACGTACGTACGTTGAACTTCTTTCGCACAGTACGTAGCCAAACGTGCTAATCGGAGGTGTGCGCGGGCGGGGAAGGACAACAAGCTAAACACGAAGAGCATTTCTAAAGAACTGAGTTTTCAATCTAGATTTAAAAGTGCGTAGCCCCAGCGGCTTCTGAATATAGGGAGAAAAAAGTGAAGAATCTGAAGTTTGATTCCCGAGTAAAGGCCATTGAGCTTAAGAAGATCTTTTTTTTTTCAAAGGCGACTCGGCAGGCAGACGACATTGGCACGGATGGCTACGCGCGGCGCGAAAGAAGTTCAACATACACACATACAACCGCTTCAACCCACGCGCACGCTGCAGCAGCAGCAGCATGGAGAGTGTCAATGGACCTCGCTTGTGAACGGCTTTGGCAGCCTCTGATTGGGATCAATGTTCCCTTGAGCCGAGAGTGCGGAACCTGTCCCTTACCGAGAGCCAAATTGAACTTCGAAATACCCTTTGGCAGGCAACCGCACATTAACAACAACAACAACCGCCATTCTCCATTAGGTGGCGGTGACCTCACCACGGCACTTGTGCCAGGCTATGTGCCCTTTCATGCTACGTGAAGTGTCGAAGGCTCACTGACAGGAGGTCACGGGACAGACCCAGGTGCCGTGGGTTGACTGACGTGAGATGACTGGCTGATGCACCCAGCTGTGCCCCCTACTATGCTAACCTGCTGTGTTTTAGCCACCCCGCGCTCCGCTCGTTGTTGTGAGCGTCGCTCCTCTGCCCTCCGCTGTTGTTGAATGGCGCTTGTCTCCACGTTAACACACAGCTTGAACAGACTGTTGAGGCAAGTGCTGTTCACGAGCACCAACAACAACAACAACAACCGCCATTCGCCACTAAGCAGCGGTGACGTCACCACGACGCTTGTGCCTAACACTCACACACACACACACGTGCGCACGCACCTCGCGTTATCCAATAATTCTCGCGAAGACGCAACGTTGCACGTCGACCGAGTGTCAAGACGGTGACGGACGCGACCGAGCGTGGCGCTAAAAAGGTGCCGAATCGCGGCGTTGCTGCCAGATTGCGGGCCGATGAGTGCGGCGGTGACGGGTGAGCGCCGTGTCGCCGTGCTCGCTGTCGTGCGGGGGCCGTGTGAAGTGGCGGCCACGCGCTCTCGGCCGCTCCGCTGGCATCGCTCGAGTGTTCCCGCGGTCAAATGGCTCGCACCTGCGGCTCGGGCGAAACGATTACCGCGGAGAGAGAGAGAGAGAGCAATTTAAACCGCAGGAGCTGTTCTTTCGCTCGCGCTCTCTCTCTCTCTCTCCGCCCTCTCAGGGCACCCGTTTTCCCCTCACTCCCGTCAATCAAGTGAAATCGCTGCTCTTCTCGCGCGAAGGCGATGATGAAGGCGCCGTTTCACAGCCTGGCTGCGGAGTTTTCACCAAATGAAGTGAATTTGCGAAGTAATTATTTTCCAATTTGTCAAATTTCGGGGACCGTGGTCTCGGGCAACACTTGGCAATGCTCGTTTCGGGAAAACACGGCACGGAATCCTTCACACCCCACTGCACAGCAGATGGCGCGGTTTGTTTTACACGTTACTTCACGGCCGCGGAAAATTTACCAGGGTGTCCGTCGACCCTCAAACCTGGCCCACACGTGACAATGGCTCGTCAAAGCGGCTTATGTCATCACACGTGGGGAATTTATATCGGCGGCGAAATAATCTTAAGCGAGGTGTTGTTTATAAATGTGGAGGGGGGGGGGGGGGGTGGGGATGGGTGGCGAACAAAACCGGAGGAACCAGGAGAATAATCCACGCTCCCACCACGGGGAGAGAGAGAGAGAGAGAAAATACGCAGACTCCACATATACTAAAACAACAGGCGTCACCAGGGTCCGGGATCGAACCCAGGCGCCTCCAGCTTAGCAGGCCCGAGGGAGATAATCTCTCTGCCGTGCCGGCCGACGCTGCCCTCTTTAAGCCGAGTTAATTTGCCGCTCCCGGCCACGGATTGCGTTCGTTTGCCCCGTCGTTGGGCGTTTTTCTCCCTTTCTCCTTGGCCCCTCGACTGACTCGGCAGGGTGGAACGGCAATAGCGTGGCTTGGGCTAGGTCACCGCGTCCCGCAGGGCGCGCGAGCGGGAGGGGGGCCCCTACCCATCCACCCACCGCCTGGCCGCTGCGGTGGGTGGCCGTGTTGCCGTGCGGGGGTTCACGCTGGTTAAAACGGTCAACTCGCGGCGGGCTCGAGTTGGGGCGGAAATCTTTCGTTGCGCAAATATATATTTCTTTTCGTATCTTTTCCTCGGATTGCAATCCCTCATTTGGGCCGCTGTAAGTGCCGTGATGACGCGTTGGGCTGCTCTGAGTGTCGCGGCGACACGGAGTAATTAATTAGCGTTGTGCACCGGCTCCATGACCCCAGCGACCTGACGAGCAAGGGGCTGCAACTTGACGTTACGGATAGTGACGTAGCACTGGGCGAAGACCCCCCGGGGCACGGCCCAGGACACGCTGGCGGAACTGTGTCGCTCGGCTGGCCTGGGAACGCCCCGGGAATTCCCAAGGAAGAGCCAGAGAATGCGTATAGTAATTTATAGTGGTGTTGTGCAGTAGTGTGTAGTGTAGTCGTGCTGGTGTCTGTCGCCAGAGAAAAAGGGAGGGTCTGGACCGCCACTAATCAACACGTCGCAACCCTCACCAGTACAAGCGGACGGAGAAAAAGGAACCAACGAACGAACGCAGCAAGGGCTTCTGAAGTGCGTAGAGAGGGAGGGAGAGGGGGGGGACAAAAAATAAACTCTGCACAATCGTTGCCGCGAGAACGTCGCTGGCTATGCGGCCGGGTGCGCACATCGGAGATGGCAGCCGTGCCCCCCCCCCCGCCCCTTAGCCATCGCGCGGATGGGGGGATGGGGGGGGGGGCAGCATTCAAGCTCGCATGCGGTTCCCGCCGCTAATTATAATCAATTTCCAATTGCCTTCAAATCGGCGTTCTTTCAGTGTCAGGAGGTGGCGGGGGGGGGGGCCCGCCCGCCATGATTGCGGCGGCGAGCGTGTGCACCTGCACGATCAAAGTGCCTGGGGTGGTGGCGGCGCGGCCCTTCGAGGGTGCCGGCTGGGGGCGCCCGGGTTCCTGTGGGGGGCAGGGGGGGGCGACTTTGAGTCGCGTTAACGCCGGGAACCATCGGCGGGCGGACAAACGGACGACGGGAGAGGGCAGACGCAGCGGGCGGCCCGTGTGGTTGGTTGCGCGGTTCTAAGACCGGTGGGGGGGTGGTTTGGGTACGTTAAGTAACCTGATATATACGTGAAGACACAAGGGAGTGTAGCGGTGAGCGCTGCGCTGCGAACCTGGCGACCCGAGTTCGATTCCCGCTCACGGCCAACATCGGTGACGATTATCTGAACCGGTCCTGGGCCTCCCCTTAGGGCGACTCAGCCTCAAATGAGAACTTGGTGCGGTGTGTAGTAAACATCGCCACTAGGGAGACAAAGGCGGCCGGGCGTTGTGCTGGCCACCCATCCCCTCGTGTGCCATTCCGGCCTTCGTAGGTGCTCGCTAACAGCACTTACCCCAACACTCCATTAAGACTATACAGGGGATCTTTGTCTTTATATACATAGATAAGTGGGTGAGGTTCAGGACTGTGGCTCATGCAGCTCCAATGGCTGCATTGGGTATGCAGTCCAGAACGCCCTTCCCCAGAGACCCTGGCTGAAGGAAGAGGAGTTCCGTCAACAACATCCAACATCGGAAAATGAGGAGGTTTATCGCAGCCTTCGCTCGGAGGTTCGGAGAGCCATGCGGCGCTGTAAGGATAAGTGGTGAGCGCGGGTTGCTGAGGAGATGGAAGCTGCCTCAGTAGCCCGCAATCACGTTTCACTCATTAATTCCATCCCAAAAGTAACTTGCAGCGCCTCGCCTATCACCATCTTTTAGGGAAAAAACGGTGATCTGACCTCCGACCCCTAGGAACTCATCTGCAGGTTTGCAGAGCATGTCTATGAGGTCTTGGAGGAGGGGAATTCCCTCAGCCCAGACAACATCATGGGCAAGGTGAGGATGACCCTGCTTGGGGCTGCTGTGCCTCAAATATTGGCAGAAGTAGCCACCCCTGCTGAGTTCCATCTGTGGAGGAAGTATGAGGGGTGATCCAGAGTCTGAGGCCAGGAAAAGCGCCCCGCTGAGGGAGCGTGGCGTTTGTGTGCAGACTGCCCCACATGACACCATCACAACTGTCTGGACGACAGGACGGGTTCCGCAGGATTGGAAGAATGCCCTGGTGGTTGCCCCTCTTTAAGAGGGGAGACCGTACAGACTGTAACAACTGCAGGGGCATCTGTCCTCAGTGTGCCAGGAAAGGTCCTACCAAGGATTATTCAACATTGCCTCGCCAGGCACGCTGAGGAGAGGCTTGCGGAGCCCCAATGTGGTTTCAGAGCAGGGTGGTCCTCTGTCCATCTGCTACAGCAGTGGTGTAGGGAATTCCAACAAAATCTACATATCTGCTCTATTGACCTGGTCAAGGCCTATGATACCATCAACATGCCAGGGATCTGGGCTGTTTGTCGTGCTTTCGGGGGTCCCTGACACTGCTCAGAATCATTAAGAGACGTCATGATGGTGAGCAGGCACGGGTAAAGCTACATGGCCAGGAGTCAGACCCATTTCCTGTTCACCTTGGGGTGCGACAGGGGATGTCAGCTGGCTCCCACATTATTTTAAAAACATCTTTAACCGTGAAGTTTGAGAAGCTTTCAATGGCTATACTGGAGGAATTTCGATCTGGTACAAGTACAATGGAAGGCTGATCGATGTCCAGGTGTGGACAAGGGATGGGTCCCTATTGGTCAACCATGTTATGGATGCCGATGATCTGGTGATTGCTGCTCACTCAAAGGAGGAGTTGAAGGCGCTGTCTTAGTGGAGAATGCCACTAAGACGCGGGGTCTTACCATTAGCCGCACTAAAACTAAGCACCTGTCTGGATGTTTTGTGCCATTAAACACTCCACCCCCTCAACTCCCCATTGGTGATGGAGCAATTGTGGAGAGTGTTCAATACCTAGGCAGTGTGCTTATGACCTGCTCCGGTTTTACAGCAGAGGTCTCACTCCGAATCAGTCGGGCGGCATTATATTTTCATCGGCTGTGTAATTTTGTGTGGAAGGTACCTGGTCTGTCGCTCCAGACGAAGCTTTGGATATTCTCGGCCACAGTCATGCCCTTTCTTCTCTATGCTTCTGGAATGTGGACCCCTCTCATGGAACATCTGCGCCGGTTAGAAACGTTCAGGCTAGCCTTCCTACGACCCATCTAGGCTGGATTGTGGGAGGAGTTTACAAATTCTTGAAAGATCTGGAAATTTCCATCCGTGAACTCCTCTGGCAGGTAAAGCTGCGTTGGCTGAGTCATGTAGTCCACGTGACCAGCCACCTCATGCCCGAGAGCAGCTTTTGTTTGACCAGATAGAGGGGGCTAAACGGGAACAACATGGGCTGGAGAAGAGATGGACTGATGCGGTACAGGAGGATGTGAAGCTGAGTGGACTTTCTAAAGACTGGTACCGGCGGTGTCAAGATTCGCCTCTTTGGAGGAGGCTCGTGGTCAGTTGGAGGCTGTTGCCCTTCAGCAAAAACAGCGGAGGGCAGAGGAGCGACTGCTCACAACACCGAGTAGTGTCGGGTGGCTAAAATGCAGCAAGTTGCATCGTAGGGGGGCACAGCTGGTGCATCTGCCAGTCATCTCAGTCAGTCAACCCATGGCACCTGGGTCTGTCCTGTAACCTACCGGCAAGCCTTTGACAATTCACGTGGCCTTAAAGTGCACCTGGCCTGGCACAGGCGTCGGCGCCATGGTGATGTCACCGCCACTTAGTGCTGAATGGCGGCTGTTGTTATATACATACAAAAAGACGCAGATGAACAAAGGCAACCCGCATTAGTAATCCTCTACAGTTCTGGGCGTGGCTGATGCAGTTTGATTGAATAATGCAACGTGCCCAACTATTTGCCCGAACCCGTTCTGAACACACCCGCTGCTGGCGAACTGGAAAACCCTGTTTGTCTTCTTTGGTGACTCAGGGAGATGTCGTTTTAATCCCTATAATACAGGTTTATTGGGGTTGGATCGCGGCAATAAAAATGTGTCGTTAAACCCGCCACCGTTTTAATGTTGAGCAACATTATAGAACGAACCGACTTTCCATCCGTCCTGAGACATACCCTGAAAACCTGTTGGTTTGAATAGCAATTGTATCAAAGAGAAGGAAAAAAAATCGGTTGCCAGAATTGAATCGTGATGCCAAATTGTGACACCTCATAAAAAAATCATTAAAACTATAAACTGTTTTTTTTTATTTTACCAGGTAAGGCCCAATGAGCTAGATAGCTCTTTTTCAATAAGCGACCTGGCCACAAATGATAGCTCAATGAAGTGGCTCATCACGTGGCGATGTCATGCACATTGGAGGGAAAAATTAAATGGCACGGAGAAAAATTCACGCGACCACGGGGAAAACACGCAAACTCTAAATATAGAGCAGGCGTCGGTGTCGGGATCGAACCCACGACCTCATGTTTACCAGGCGAGGTAGTTAACATCTTGCCACCGTGAGGCTGGGGCAGGGATAATTGTTACGTGCCTGGTAAGCGCACGCTTCTTTGCGAGTGCAGTTACGTACTCGCAAATAAGCGTGCGCTTAAGTGCTTGTATACTTCACTGGTCAAACAAGCCCTACGACTTAACACAGTGCCGGGGGTGGGGGGGGGGAGAGTCTCTGTATCTAGTTAGGGATTCACATGTACGTGCCAAGGTGCATGCTGTCACGTGGCCCCGTCGTCATCTCCATTAGAATCGCAAGGTCGACGAGGACCGTTGCGTCCGGCCGCGCGTGTGAATGCGTTGGAAAGGTCGCACTCGTGACACGCAAAGTGCTAGCCACAAATTAAACGCGGTACCTTGCCGAACTCTGGGAGGAGCGTAAACCATCGCGCGAACTCTGGTCAGCCTCGCAGCGGCAGCGGCTTTTTAGCTGGCTGTCGAACAAAGACGGTGGTCACCGCATCGTGCACATTCAGATGGGCCGTCTGGAGCGCTCTTCTTTCCGGTATTAGTGCTTTTTCTGTTTGGTTTGTTGTCCTTCCCGCGCACCTCCGATTAGCACCGTTGGCTACGTGCGGTGCGAAAGAAGTTCTACGTACAGGCAGCGGCGGCGAAATCGAGCGAGCGAACCTGTCGTACTCACGACGGCACCACGAAGGAAGAAGCGACGGACACGGCACATGGCCTTTCATCCGTCAATCCAGTGGGACCGACAAAACACCCGGCCGATCAAATCGGACGGAAGTACGGCGGCACGTTGGTACACGACCGGGGGTCGTGCGACGTCCTCGCTCGTGAAGTGTCTCACCTCCCCCCCCCCCCCCCCTCCCCCCCATGTGTCTCTCTCTCTCTCTCGTGTCGTTCACGAACCCTTGACCCCCCACCCCCTTCCTCCCGCAGACCTGATGTCCCCCATGGCCGAGTTGGCGACACTGAACAAGAGGCGCGGGGCCTTCAAGCTGCCCAAGGTGCACGAGATCAAGGGCCACGAATTCGTGGCCACGTTCTTCCGCCAGCCGACGTTCTGCTCCGTGTGTCGCGACTTTGTGTGGTGCGTACGCTCCCACCCCCCGCACCCCCTCCCCCCCCCCGCCGCCCCCCCACATCATTCTCACGCGTGCATGCGTGCATGCGTGCGTGACGTACAGACGTGTACAGGGCTATATCAAGCGAGAAGGAATGGTGGTGACGGTTAAGGGGCTAGCCATGAGGATTCCTGGACGCGTGCACGTGACGTGTATCTGTGAGCCGCCGGAGGGTTTGGCTTGGCGATAAGAGAGAAAAAGTCCTGGATGTGGACACGAGTTACGTGGGCGTGTGTATGTATGTGTGTGTGTTTGGGAGTGTGTTTGTGTGTGTGTCATTGGACCCTCCCTTGCCAGTATCAAAATGTAAGAAGAGGTTGAACCCTTTCTGGCAATAAAACAGTTGTGTTAAGATGTTAAAACACCCAACTGAAACCTTTTGCAAGGAGGTCATGTCTGCATTCACCACATATACTTGTGGTGAACATGCCAACACAACAAAAACATGCTCTGGTAGTATATGATGATGATGATGCATTGTCTTTGAAACTGATTGGTCCACACCAGAGACAGCTTTTTTTAGAGCCTTGTCTCACTAACAGTGTTAGACCAGAGGACAACGGCAATGCATGTACTACCAGAGCATTTCACAATGTGTGTGTACTTTTGTGGTATTACGGACACCCATGTGACCTCATCCAACCAATCGCAGCAACTGTTGCATGTGAGAACAACAAATTGGTTTCTCAGAGTCGCAAACCCACGTACAACAGCAACAGAAACGGAATCTATTATCAGAATCTCTGCTTAGACTGGAGGAATACGATGAGACATGAAGCTCTTTCACGAACGTTGCAGGAAATCTATGACATGTGTTTGCAGCTTACAATGTCTTGTGGATAAGATATTGTTTGCAAGCACCTATTTTGCGAGATGCATTGCTTATGAATGAGTGATAGGGGCGAACACCACCCACGCCTAACCACCTTTTTTATTCATTCACCAGGGACCATTCCAACCTCACTATGCCACTTATGTGGGTCCACGATACACACAATTAACCTCTTCTTTGGTTCTTTCGGTAAAGTCACGTAGATCGAAAATAATAAAATAAAAACCAAAAAACTCACGACGTCTAGATCTCTCCACCTGATGACGACTGCTTGTGTTGTGATCGAAACGTCGTCAGTTTTTGGTTTCTATATATATAAAAAAATATATATCTTTTTTTCGATCTACGTGACTTTACCGAAAGAATCAAAGAATATGAATTTCCTGCAGTCACGAAAGTTTTGAATAAACATTTTTACACAATTTACCTCTTGTGTTTGTTGTTGTTTGTTGTTGTGTTGCGTAGGGGACTCAACAAACAAGGCTACCAGTGTCGGCGTAAGTAGCTGTAATCCACAATTATAGTTGCTATCTTTAAGTTGTTGTTATGAGGAGTTGAGCGGCAGTGCTGTGGCTAGCGCACTGCACTATGAACTCCGATCATGCTCGCAACGGATTTTGGTTAATCATCGAACAAAGACGGTCACTGCATCGCGAGCTTTCAGATGTGCTTCCAGTGGCTTCCTAACATCTTCCGATGTTAGGAAGCCACTGGAATGATGCACTTTTAAATCATCTATATTGAAAACTAATTTATTTAAAACTGCTTTTTGTGTATAGTTTGTTATCCATCCCCCGCACCTCCGATTTGCACGTTTGGCTACGTACGTTGCGAAAGAAGTTCAACATACATACAACCTGTGTTCGATTCCCAGCCACGGCTCATGTGAGCGGCGAGTCTGACAGCCCAGCTCTGTGAAGTATGGTCAAGCAACCCACGTGGCCAAATTGAAAAGGGGCTGTAAATGATTATTCTTGAATACATTGTCATTATTATCGCCACAGATATTTTACACAAGTCTCAGGGCATTCCCCTAAATATGCGAGTGTTGAGACATCCTCAGCTTTATTGAAGAACTTGAGCCATTGCCGGGATTTCCACGTTTCTTAGGGCAGGGGCAGCTCACCCTCAACTTTGACGACGTTGGCACCCCTTGAAAGTTACGCTCGTTGTTCCTCCGTCACGATTTGATACATCTGTTAAGACGGTCGGTTGTGTTAGTGTTTCGATTTAAAGATGGTGTTAGTGTTGTGTTTTTGTTATCTTTGTGTGCAGAGTGCAATGCCGTCATTCACAAGAAGTGCATCGACCTTGTCATCGCAAAGTGCACTGGCTCGGCCAAGAACAGCCGCGACACTCTGGTACGTGTTACGCGTTCGCACGCGCTTTTCCTTTGTGCCCACGTATACGTGGCACGATCCTTCATAAGGGATGTCGTCACTTTGTTTTGACTTGAACCCCCGGTGGTTCCAAGCTTGTGGCCCCGTAGATTATTGGTGGCCCGCAACACCATCTTTTAAAAAAAAATGTTATACTGCATGGTTGTCCGCCGAACAATGTTGAGGTTTTGGTCCGCAGGTCCAAGAAAGGGTTGGGAGCCACCGCCGGCTTTGCCTGCCCTTCGTAGCAGCCTCACGCTCGCACCGACCATATTTGGACGGACCTGTCTCTCTCATTTTAATAGCTCGCTGTTCCTTACGTGTGCTGATGCCGCCAATTTATTCCGCGGTAATGAGCGTGGCGATTTGCGCGCTAGCTGCGCGGCGTGTTGCTCAGAACTCCTTGAGCGATTCGTTTGAGTGCCAGTTATTTCTCGAGAGGAGGGCCCAGGTGGCTGAGAACTCCCGTGGCTCTCGGCCGACAGTTGCCGTGAGAATCCTTGGCTTTGAGCCCCAGCGATCAGCCACCTGTGTAATTAAACCTGGGCTCCCAGGTGTGACAAGTGGATGTTTTCGGCCCGATCGGAAACTATGATTATCGTGCTGCGCTGTTTCAGGTAATTTCTCACCATTGAAATTGCCGGGTTGCTCATTTGAAACCAGTTTTGCAAAAACAAGTATCCGGCCAGGTGTCCTCAGCGGGAGGGCGAGCGGCTCGCCATCGGAAGGGCGTGAGTTCAAATCCTGGTTGGGCGGTTGACTCGGTCAATCATTCTCACGGCGGGGTCCATAAACTAAGTATCACTTGGTGGGGGAAATCAACAATGGTAGTTTCTGGGATTTACTTGGCTCGTCATAGGAATTTGGAATTTCAACCATTGGCTCTGCATGGCTGTGAACGGGATACGCGCAACACCTTGATGCTCGTTTGAGCAGGAAATCAGATTGACGTTTAGACTCTATGTGGGGCGAGATGTTAACTACCTCGCTTGGTATACAGGAGGTCGTGGGTTCGATCTCGACCCTGATGCCTGCTGTATATTTGGAGTTTGTGTGTTCTCCCTGTGGTCACGTGGATTTTTCTGCGGGTCCAGTTTTTCCCTCTACATTTAGAATCAACATCACGGTAATAATAGGGTTTTTACCCTGTTTTCTGGCAACAAAACTGAAGCATTTTTTACAAGGATTCATGTCTGCATTAACCACAATACTTTTAGTCAAAATGCAACAAAAAACATACTATGATAATATATGCATTGTCTTTGAAACTGATTGGTCCACACCAAGAGTCGGCGTTCTTTTGAGCCTCGACCCAATTGGTGCTCGACCAGATGATGCCAATTGGTCGAGCACCAATTGGGTCGAGGCTCAAAAGAACGCCGACCCTTGGTGTGGACCAATCAGTTTCAAGGACAATGCATATATTATCATAGTATGTTTTTTGTTTGCATTTTGACTGCAGGTATTGTGGTTAATGCAGACATGAATCCTTGTAAAAAAATGCTTCAGTTTTGTTGCCAGAAAAAAGGGTAAAAACCCTATTATTACATTTTGGTACTGGCAAAGGAGGTCTAATGATGTAGACAACATCACGGTGTTTAAGAGTATTTGGCTGCTATACATTTCCACGTGATAAGCCACTTCGTTGAGCTATCATTTGTGGCCAGATCGCTTCTGAAAAAGAGCTACACAGCTCAGTGGGCCTTACCTGGTAAAAAAATAGAACATATCATGAAATAAACACGTTTAAAGTTGAAAAATCACTCTAATGTTGCGTTCAAATATTGTAAATGTTTGAAATCTCTTTTATCCTAAGAATGAGAAATAAATTGGGTGGCCGGGTGCCGCGGAGGTCGGCGCACCGAGCTGGTGCAGCTGAGATCCTGTTTGGAATCCAGGCGACCGCTTAATCCACATTGTCAAGTGTCACAAAGTCCCGTATGGAGCAAGGGGGGGCAGGTGCGATTTATATCCGCAGCAGTGCGCTCGTATCGAAAGTTTCCCATCGCCTTCTGCCCCGAGCAGGGCGATGATGCAAGCGTTGCGCTGCTTTGCACCGGAACTGCGCTCGTGCGAGGCGTGCCCCAGAACCAGCTCCGTCCGCAGTAACCTTTCCTTCCCCGCGGCCTCCCGCAGTTCCACAAGGAGCGGTTCAAGATCGACATGCCGCACCGCTTTGATGTGAAGAACTACATGAGCCCCACGTTCTGCGACCACTGCGGAACGCTGCTGTGGGGACTCGTCCGGCAGGGCCTGCAGTGCGCAGGTCAGACGGCCCCTGGGGTCACCCGGGGTCCGCGGGCTCGCTCGACAAAGGGGTCCCACCGTAGCCGGATGGCACTTACGGCGAAAGCGCGCAAGGGTGTTAAGGTTCAGTCCTGTGGTTTCTCTCTCGTGCCGCTGGCCGTGCTGAGAAAGGGGCCTTCTTCTGTGCTTGCCCCCAAACCATCCACGGTGTCGACCTCCCTTCCCTTCTGAAGAAGATTTAGTCATTCCTCGCGAGCGATGTCCCCCTCCTTTCCACCCCCACCCCCTCCCGACATCGCAGATTTGTACATAAAGGGAGGTAAAGGGGCGGCCCCCGCAATTGCCTGCTCATGCCACTGCCCGAGGAAGGGCCCCCATGACTGCGAGCTGGAGCGAAGAGCCCCCCCCCCCTCTCTCGGCAGATGTCTGGCTAGAGGGGCGCTCGCATGCAAGAGTGACTGACCTGGTTCGCTAAAATTACAAAAATTAAATAAAATATAGCGATGGAGTCTTTCGCACCTGATTGGCCCACAAGTGATGACATCACGTTTACCGCGCTCTATTTAAGACCGATACGGGAGGAGGATTTCTCAACGACTCTGGCTGTCGCCTGATGAGGCTGGTTGTTGTTGTAATTATCGGCGAAACGTCACCGTACCCGAATTGTCAATGTTATTGTGGGTTTACCCTCATAACACAACCGGTGTGCTGAACAAAGTAACGAATTGGCATGTTTTGTTTACGTGACAAACCTTACCAATTGGCGGTGACGGGTTTAACGACACTTTTATATTAAGGCAAAAAACTAAAGAAACGACTGTGTCACGTGAGAGAGAGAGAGGAGTTGAAAACATCACGAAAATGCAAATCGATGTCAAATAACGAATTGGCCGTCGCGCAAGTGGGCTTGAGCAGAGCACTTTTCGACTGATGGGAGCACAGTGCAGTCATAACTTTCAGTCGCCTGGGCTCAGAGTCAAACCGGTCACGCGAGGACCATGAGATCATTTTCTTTCTTCTCCCCCGGGGGAATTTAACCCAGAGCCATGCGATTAAATTATCCGCGTTTTTATTTTATTTATAGCAAAGGCGTAGCGGTGGGGGGGCTAGCGGTGGTGTTAAGTACCCAAGCACCCAGAGAGCCACGGTCTCCGTGCCCTCTAGACGTGACCCCGGCAGACGAACGCGATGTGGGATCCGGGGACTGGCTCGGGCTCTCTCCTGGCGGCTGCCCCCTCCCCCCATTGTCATCTCGCTTTTTTTGTTGGTGACTTTTTTTTCGCTTTGCGCTGCGTTGATCGGCACGGAGTGCTTGCCACCGCGACTCACAGCTGGAAGGAAATGAATGGATAAAATGATCTTGCATTACAGCAAGGCAACTTTGGTCAATGCATATAGACAGCCTTGCATTCATATTGCATCATTACCATGTGAATATGTTGTTGTTGTTGTGTGTGTTGTTGTTATTATTATTCGCGAGTAATGGCTTAGGATGCAAAACCTTTGAAAGCCCAGTGAAATAATGAAAAGGAAATATTTTAATGGATTTACAGCCCATCATTGCGCATCGCACGCAGCGTCAGTGATTGAGGTTGTTTGACCATACTTCACCACGCTGGTCAGTGCGGGGGTGGGGAACGACTGCTTCATAAAATCACTGGCCACTGATGTTAGCCAGGAACGGGATGGTAGCTGTTTTGATAGCCGCAATGCGCTAATCACTGTGCAACTTGGTCCACTCCAATAAGAATTATTTAATTTTATAAATGCCCCTTGAACATTCGTTCTCATTACATTACAACAATGTAATGCCCCTGCATCTCTCAGACAAAAGCCTCTCACCGAGTCTCAAAATGTGTTCACGAGGGTCCTGCTTATGGGATGTTCAGCTTCTGGGAGGAAATCTTCAGCACCCAGACTTCTCAAATCTCAGATATATTGGTGAATTCATTTCCGTTTCAAGTTTTATTTTGTCAAACCAGGGCGAGAACTCGAGATACCAGGATAGTGGTCTCATCTGCAAGAGAGGCGGCACCCTGTGTCACCGAAATGAAGCAGGCAAAACAAACTAAAATAGAGCACAGCAATGAACCAAACAGAAATTGGAGCAAAAACAACTACGTGATAGAAGAAATAGGGAATAGTGCACGCACGTAAGCAATAATAAATTCCCAAAACCAAAAAGTTAGCTTGGATAAATAACTTTAAAAAAAACATTAGTGTAAAATGTTATTAAAGAATCACCATCATCATAGGTTTATGGTGATCATTGAACTCGTACGTAAACTGACAAGGTTACGCAGGAGAATTCCTCTCATCCGCTTTGCTATGGGGACGGATATCGCGCATCCTATTACCCGTGGCGTTATCCACAAGTTTACTCCTCTTGTTCACGGGGGTCACTGCTCTTATCCGTGGGAATAATGGCGATTTGTGAGGAAGCCCTCTTGCTGTGCATTGTGGGTGAAATCGTGGATAGCCGTGGATAGTCAGACTAAATAGAACCGTGGCGTTTTGGTGGACCCTACAGCTTCCACGGATAATCGCGGTTGCCCGTAATATTACCGCAGATAAGAGGAGTTCTGTATTTTAAATACCTAAACTATTTGAAGCAAAACTGTTTTTATTTTACCAGGTAAGGCCCACTGAGCTGTATAGCTCTTTTTCAGAAGCGACCTGGCCACAAATGATTGCTCAACGAAGTGGCTTATCATGTGTAAAAATGCATCGCAGCCAAATAATCTTAAGTGCATGGTTCTCAATGTGGAGGGGAAAAAGCGGAGGACCTAGAGAAAAATCCAAGCGACCACCGCGAGAGAGAGAGATGCAAACGCCACATATACAGCAGGCGCTAGGGTCGGAATTGAACCCAGAACCTCCTGTATACCAGGCAAGGTAGTTAACATCTCGCCACTGCAAGCGATGTTGTACTGCCATCTACTGGGCACTTTGCAGCCTGGGCCTACGACATCTCCTTGTTAATCCCGGGCAGTCTGCCATCCAAGCGCGAGAACCGTCAGGTTCTATCAACCCTTTGCTTGGCTTATGAGGTCTGACGAGAGGGGGCCACGATCATTGGGGAGGAGAGGGATTTGTTTCGATGTGTGTGTGCGCTGCCCGCGTCGTGGGCAGCGGTAGTGTAGCAGTTAGCGAGCTGCACGACAAACCCGGCGACCCAGGTTCGATTCCTGTTCATGGGCCTCCCCTAGCTCGACTCGGCCTCATTCGAGTTCCTGCTGCGGTGTATAAACATCGCCACTAGGGAGATAAAAGGCGGCCGGGCGTGGCGCTGGCCACCAACCCCCTCGTGTGCTGTGCCGGCCTTCATAGGCCCTCTCTAACAGCACTTTCCCCCAACAGTCCGTTAAGTCTACACGGGGGATCTTTGTCTTCCGTTGCCTGCGTCGTGGCCACGGCGCCCCTGTGTAAACGTCGCTGCGTCGCTGTGCCCTGCAGAGTGCTCCATGAATGTTCACCACAAGTGTCAGAAGAAGGTGGCCAACCTGTGTGGCATCAACCAGAAGCTCATGGCTGAAGCGTTGGCTCAGATTGAGAGCGCTCATTCGGTAAATATTTCGGTAATGTGTGTGTGTGTGCGTGTATGCACATGTGTATACGCGTGAACGGACACACGTGTTGTGAATATGTATCGGGGAGCGGGAAGTGTAGCGGTTAGCACGCTGTGCTACGAACCCGGTGACGATTATCTGAACCGATCCTGGGCCTTCCCATCGCCACTGGGGAGACTAAGGCGTGGTGCTGGCCACCCACCCCCTAGTGTACTGTGCCGGCCTTCATAGGTGCTGGCTAACAGCACTTGCCCCAACAGTCTGTTAAGGTTATACGGGGAATCTTTGTCTTGCAATACCCTCTGCTGACAACGTATGTCTACAGTGGCCTACAGCACCTATTTTACGTGCGGTGGTGGCCACCCACCGAAGCATTATCCAGGCTCAAGCCTGCTTAGATTCTGCGACGTTACGAGATCGGGGCGACTTGGTTTGAGTCGCTCCTACGAGGATAAACGAAATAGAATAACGAGACACGCCGGGGTGACGCGTGGCGATTTTTGCACAGCTTGAGACGAATCTCAGGTCGCCGGGTTCCGCGGTTGTCAAATTTAAAAAAAGTGCAACCCTGAAATTTCTCCCTCGCGCCACCGTTGGCGGAAAGTCCTCCCGCTGCAGGTCACCCTGAGAGAGAGAGAGCGAGTCCCTCCTGGAGGGTATATTAGCCGTACCCTTCCACGACGGCCAGACGTCTTGGAAGGCGTGGAAGTTTTTTGTATCCACTGCCAAGCTCCCCCTAACGTGCCTCGTCAGCGACGTGGCCCCCCCCCCCCCCAGCGCCTCTCGTCGCAGAGGCCTCGCGGTTTCGAATCGGTACACGGGGGGGCCGCCCTTGTTAACGCTGCGGGTGTCGTAGCCCGTGATGATACTCGGCGCCGCTCTTCGCTCGGAGTGGACGTTCACAGTCCCCTTGAGGTCGTTCGCGACAGCAGGCCCATTGTGTGCCGGCGTCGGGCTCGAAAACTTACGAAAATTCCATAAAAATTGTACACCGCAACTTACGCCATTGGCACGACATGTGGCGGCAACTGCCACCCCTGCCGGCAAACGAGGCTCGTTCCGGTCTCTTTGAGTTCTCATCCGGTTCAACAAAGCGAATTGGGATCCTAGGATGGAATGCACATTTTAAATCTGAATTATCGTTGCTTTTTCTGGAATATTTTACTGTTTTTTCCTGGATTTTCTGTTTGCAAAGTCACATACAGTGAGGGAAAAAAAGTATTTGATCCCCTGCTGATTTTGTACGTTTGCCCACTGACAAAGAAATGATCAGTCTATAATTTTAATGGTAGGTTTATTTGAACAGTGAGAGACAGAATAACAACACAAACAATCCAGGAAAACGCATGTCAAAATGTTATAAATTGATTTGCATTTTAAAGGGAGTGCTCCTAATCTTAGCTTGTTACCTGTATAAAAGGCACCTGTCCACAGAAGCAATCAATCAGATTCCAAACTCTCCACCATGGCCAAGACCAAAGAGCTCTCCAAGGATGTCAGGGACAAGATTGTAGACCTACACAAGGCTGGAATGGGCTACAAGACCATTGCCAAGCAGCTTAGTGAGAAGGTGACAACAGTTGGTGCGATTATTCGCAAATGGAAGAAACACAAAAGAACTGTCAATCTCCCTCGGCCTGGGGCTCCATGCAAGATCTCACCTCGTGGAGTTGCAATGATCATGAGAACGGTGAGGAATCAGCCCAGAACTACACGGGAGGATCTTGTCAATGATCTCAAGGCAGCTGGGACCATAGTTACCAAGAAAACAATTGGTAACACACTACGCCGTGAAGGACTGAAATCCTGCAGCACCCGCAAGGTCCCCCTGCTCAAGAAAGCACATATACATGCCCGTCTGAAGTTTGCCAATGAACATCTGAATGATTCAGAGGACAACTGGGTGAAAGTGTTGTGATCAGATGAGACCAAAATGGAGTTCTTTGGCATCAGCTCAACTCGCCGTGTTTGCAGGAGGAGGAATGCTGCCTATGACCCCAAAGAACACCATCCCCAGCGTCAAACATGGAGGTGAAAACATTATACTTTGGGGGTGTTTTTCTGCTAAGGGGACAGGACAACTTCACTGCATCAAAGGGACGATGGACGGGGCCATGTACCGTCAAATCTTGGGTGAGAATCTCCTTCCCTCAGCCAGGACATTGAAAATGGGTCGTGGATGGGTATTCCAGCATGACAATGACCCAAAACACACGGCCAAGGCAATAAAGGAGTGGCTCAAGAAGAAGCACATTAAGGTCCTGGAGTGGCCTAGCCAGTCTCCAGACCTTAATCCCATAGAAAATATGTGGAGGGAGCTGAAGGTTCGATTTGCCAAACGTCAGCCTCGAAACCTTAATGACTTGGAGAAGATTTGCAAAGAGGAGTGGGACAAAATCCCTCCTGAGATGTGTGCAAACCTGGTGGCCAACTACAAGAAACGTCTGACCTCTGTGATTGCCAACAAGAGTTTTGCCACCAAGTACTAAGTCATGTTTTGCAGAGGGGTCAAATAATTATTTCCCTCATTAAAATGCAAATCAATTCATAACATTTTTGACATGCGTTTTTCCGGTTTGTTTTTGTTGTTATTCTGTCTCTCACTGTTCAAATAAACCTACCATTAAAATTATAAACTGATCATTTCTTTGTCAGTGGGCAAACGTACAAAATCAGCAGGGGATCAAATACTTTTTTCCCTCACTGTAGTCACTTTAAGATGTTTTTCTTGTTCGTGTTTTTATTTTTTGTTTGTTGCGGTTGCACCCGATTCAAGAGCCGAATGGCTCACAGGGCTATACCAAATAAATGAAACTGAAACTTAATCTCCACTCTTTCCCAAAGGTCCGATCCCAAAGGGACAGAGAGAAGACGGCCCGGGATCCCACTGTGGATATTTACCAGGGCACGGAAACCAAACGCCTCAGTGCGGGTGAGTGTGGGGGGGGGCAGAGTCTCCCATTGGACCTTTGAGCAGTGTACCTCTGTCGTCACGTGCCTATGTTGAACTGCTTTCGCGCACCGTATGTAGCCAGCTATGCTAATCATGATCATCAGCAGCAGAAACATAAGTATCATCATCCATCAGCAGAAGCATCAGCAGCCACAACAGTATCATCATTAATAGAAGCAGTAACAGAGATATCATTGTTAACAACAGCAGCAGCAGCAGCAACGGGTATTATCATCAGCAGCATTTTAACACGTAGGAGGGATATCATCAGCAGCATCGTTATTATCATCTATCATCGCGAGAGGCCCCCGCCCCCGTGTTGTTCACCGTCCCTGGCGGTCGCGCGACGGCACGATCCGTCTCCCTCCTTGCCCGCGCGAGACGACCTCGTCGCCACGCTTCCTCGTCGCCACGCTACCTCGTCGCCGCGCTTCCTCGTCGCCGCCATTGTTGGCGTCGTCAGTGGCGGTCATCCTCCTGGCGGGCGCCCTCAAAGCTTCTGGCTGCCAATTCCCTTTCGCCAGTCTCGTGCGTCGGCCACTATCTCCACCAGCAATTGGTCCTCCTGGCCATGCCCGTTTAAATGTTGATCAACGACAGTCGACACGAAGTCTCTGGTTAGCTACCTCGCTTGTGTGTGCAGGAGGTTTGCGCGTCTCTCTCTCTCTCACCTTGGTCACGTGGATTTTTCTCCGGGTCCTCCGCGTTTTTTTTTCCTCCGCCCACATTTCGAATCGACATGCGATCAGAGTTTTTTTGGCTGCTATAAATGTTCACGTGATGAAGCCACATCGTTGAGCTATTGTTCGTGATAGCAGGGGGTCACTTCCGAAAAAGAGCTATACAGCTCAAGTGGGGCCTTACCTGGTAAAACTAAAAATAGTTTAGTTAAAAAATAAAAAGTTTTTTCTTTTGTTCTCCGATTCCGTGTGCTTTCCCCGTTCTGATTCTCAGTGTAATTCGCAGCACGCGCGTCTCCGCCGCGCCTTTTTTATAATCAACTGCGGTGCCGTGCGTCCTTTCTCCTAGGCCGTGTTTTGCGATCTGCGTGGCGTGGCAGATGGGAAGAGATGATTGCAACTTTCTCGGTGTCTTTGCGCTTAAATTCTCAAATTCCTTTTCCCAGGAAGCGCTTGACACTGCTGTGCCCGCTCACTCACTCGTTCATCGAGTCCCGTTGATTACAGTTTTCATTCAAGCAATGCCCTCTGTACTCTAATCAATCGCCCTCTGTACTCTAATCAATTGCCCTCAATAGTTTAATCAACTGGCAAATACAACATTGTACGTTCCACTTCTGCCCGTCCAACAATCGATTCGCGTATTCGTGGAAATGCATTTCTGTTTTTTCAGAGGAGGCTCCTCCGTATCGCTGCTCTTTGCTGCTGGTTCCGGTCATTTTTCTCCTGAAAATCGTCAGAAGGGTGCAATGCAAACGGTTCATCCATCACGCGCGCATGGCGCCTTTGTTTCTCTTTTAATTGACGCGACCGCGGTGTTCCGCTGACGCTGAGCAATCTGAGCAAATCCGGCGGGGGGCGGGGGGGGGGTGGTTGACGAGCATCCAAAAATAAAACCGCGCAGCTCGTCGGCGTCGTCGCAGTTTTCGGGCACGGCGCCCGACTCTTTTTTCGCTCCGCGTGCCCCCCGGGAGCTTCCGTTGGGTTCCTGAAGGACGCGCGCGACTTGGAAATACGTCGGGACGGACGAAATAGAATTGAATGGACGGCACTGGCGTGAGCAGAGCGAGCGAGGAAATGGGGAACCCATCGCTAAATGCGTGCGTGCATTTCCTGTGATTAGTAGATGGGCACTACGAGAAGGCGTGGGACTCGCACACTGACCCGCGCGCCCCCGTGCCGCCCAGCCGCGTCGCGAGCCTCCGCAAGGACCTGCGCAGGGTCACCCTCAACGACTTTGTGATGCTCAAGGTCCTGGGCAAGGGCAGCTTCGGCAAGGTGTGTGGACCCCCGTGGCGTCTATACTGCCTCATTATTTGCACCCTCCCCCCCTGCTCCCGGCCACACCACGTGCGTGCCACTCCACCGCCTCCTGATAGCCCACGCAGAATCCCACGCACCGCTCGCTCGCCACGGCGTTTTCACACCACCGCTCCACTCCCCCTCCGCTTTCCCGGTTGAAACCCAATGCTGCCAGCCCACACCATTAACATGCCGTGCAGATTCACGCATCGGACACCACACACCACACCGCTCGCGATCCAATGCTGCGCGGGCCGCACCGCTCGCTTGCCACGCCAGTCCCCCACACCGCTGCTGATGCCTCGCTCTGCTAGCCCCGCCACTCGCACGTCACGTCAATGCCGCTCCAGGCCCCTGCCCCTATCGCTGCAAACGACGATGCGCCACGCAACTGCAGCGATCGATACAGCCTCACTGGGCGGTGTCTGATTTATTACACTGGCGTGGTGGTGGTGGTGATGATGGGCTGAGTGTAGACCCTTGAATGTGTGTGCGTGTGTGCGCGTGCGTGCATGCATCTCTGTTGATGTGCATACGCTTGCTTATGTGCCATTTTGCACAGTGTACGTTCCAGTTGTGGGGAGCGGTGGTGCAGCAGCTAGCGGACATCACTGCACTACGAACCCGCCCACCAACACCCGTGACGATTAACTGAACCGGTCGTGGGCCGTCCCCTTGATCGACTACACGCCGCGCCAGGTTCTCCAATGAGTACCTGGTGCGGTGTGCAAACATCGCCACGAAGGGAGACAAAGGCGGCCGGCCGTGGTGCTGGCCACTCGCCCACCCTCTCGTGCGCCGTGCCGGCCTTCACAAAGTGCTACTCGCTAACGGCACTTGCCCCGACGGTCTGTTGAGGCTATACGGGGGAATATTTGTCTTCGCGTGCGTATGGACACTTGAAAATCTTGTATGTTTGTTTTGTATGTATGTATGTATGTACGTACGTACTTGCGCGTACACTCGCCAAACGGCACTCCCCCGAACAACCGTCTGGTGTGGGCCCCCCCCCCCCCCCCCCCTTGCCTTCGTTCCGTGCAAGGTGATGCTGGCGGAGCTGAAGGGCCGCCAGCAGTACTTCGCAGTGAAGGCGCTCAAGAAGGCGGTGGTGCTGATGGACGACGACGTGGAGTGCACCATGGTGGAGAAGCGCGTCCTCTCCTTGGCCTGGTCTCACCCCTTCCTCACGCACCTCTTCTGCGCCTTCCAGAGCGAGGTGCGAGGTGTCTCCCACCCACCCCCCCCACCACAAAGACAAAGACTTCTCCCGTACTGCCTGTAACAGACTGTTGGGGCGAGTGCTGTGTGAAGGCCCGGCACGGCGTGCGAGGGGGTGGGGTGGCCAGCACCACGCCCGGCCGCCTTTGTCTCACCGGTGGCGATGTTTACACGGCTCACCAGATACTCATTTGAGGCTGGGTTGACCTAGGGAAGGCCCAGGACCGTGAGTGGTGTTTACCGTGAGCAGGAATCAATCTCGTGTCCCCGGGTTTGTAGCACAACGCGCTAAACGCCACACTACACGGACACGGATAGCCGCACCTCCGATTAGCACGGTTGGCTACGTATGGTGCGAAAGAAGTTCAGCATACTTCCATGCGTACAAAAGACACAAGATCCCCCGTGTAGCCTTTCCCTGTTGGGCCGAGTGCCTGTGAAGGCCGGCACGGCACACGTACAGCCATCTATAGACGCATGTAGCCACAGATTAAGAATCTTTATTCATACTGAAAGAGGAATCCGATGAGCTATGAAGCTCTTCTTCACAGACGTCCAGTAAGAGGGGGCGGGGGTCAGAACGTTACAGCAACAAACACGATAGGAGTGCAAAGTATAGGAAAGGTAAACAAATCACAAAGACACGTGGAAACATATGGACGAGACACACGTGGTTTCATTGCCACATACAGACACCAATACAGCCGCATCTATACACATGCAGCCACATACAAAGACAAAGAATCCTTACATGGCTATATATAGACTGTTGGGGCGAGCGCTGTTAGCGGGCACCGGTGAAGGCCGGCACGGCGCACGAAACTTGCCCCGTGATTTAATTTTAACCCGTTGGAAGATGGAATCGCAGCAGCGACCACCGCATTACAAGTCGAATGCGCTAACCATTAAACCGCGGCAGCCCTCGGTTTAACTTGAGGTGGTTTATTTCTCTAGAATTTGGGTCACCATTAAAAAAAAAAAAAATCTGATTTGAATCGCAGGCGGCCCAAACCCAGATATGAACCCAGGATGTCGGCGGTCGGGGCCTGGGGCTCCGACACGGTCAAAGCCGCGTGAACCGCCAAGAGCTACTTCAGGGCCAGTTTATTTTTCCAGTTATCTTGGCAGGAAATCGGGGCCCCCGGAGGAAACCCACGCGTGGGACATATAACTAGGATCGACACACGTGTGCTGTGGGCCGCCACGGTGGCTGGGGGATGTTGATTCCCTCGCCTGGTGTACAGGAGGTCGTGGATTTGATCCCGACCCTGACGCCTGCTGCTGTATATTTGGAGTTTTTCGTGTTCTTCCCCGTCGTTCTCGTGGATTTTTCTCTGGGTTATCCAGTTTGTCCCTCCGTATTTAGAAACCAACCTGCGCTTAGAGTATTTGGCTGCCGTACATTCTCACACGATGGGCCACTTCGTTGGGCTTTACCTGGTAAAATAAAATAAGAAATAGTTCACTTTAGTTTGGTTTCTAAACGACTGTGACCTCACTGTGCGTTGCGTGCCGTGTGTGTAGGAGCACCTGTTCTTCGTGATGGAGTTCCTGAACGGAGGAGACTTGATGTTCCACATTCAGGAGAAGGGTAGATTTGACATCGCCCGAGCCACGTACGTGCGGTTGCCTTGTGTGTGTTGTGTGTGTTGTGTGTGTGGTGTGTGTGTTGTGTGTGTTGTGTGTGTGTTGTGTGTGGTGTGTGTGGTGTGTGTGTGTGGTGTGTGTGTGTGTTGTGTGTGGTGTGCGTGTGTTGTGTGTGGTGTGTGTGGTGTGTGTGTGTTGTGTGTGGTGTGTGTGTGTGTGGCGAGAGTCGGGCTTCACAATCGCTTTGCTTTTTTGCTGGTGCCGCGGTGGAACGTGGAAGCCTCCAGAACATGCCAATTGGTTACTGGTACAGCACTAACCGGTGTGTTGGAGAGCAAAGCCACAACATTTACAATCTGAGTATGATGTTTTGCCAGTAATCGCAACCAGCTTCATCAGGCGACAGCCAGATTTGTGGAGAAATCCTTCAGTTTTGTTCCTTAGATAGAGGGAGAGATGTGATGAGGTCACTTGTTTTATGGATGCCCCCGTGTAGCCTTCAAAAGACCGTTAGGGCAAGTGCTGTTTACGAAGTAGCAACTACGAATTCGAAAGTCGATTCTCACACATGAGCTGTTTGATACTTGTACCGTGAGATTTATAAACAATTTTAAACGACGCATCATTGGTTACCTACCCCTATACACAACAGGTCTGTCTTAAAACAGATGCTGCTCAGCTCTTTTAATGAGCTCGTATGACAATAATAATAATGTGTGCCTGTTGAACTTCTTTCGCACCGTATATGACCAACCGTGCTAATCAGAGGTTGGGAGACACATGGGGGGGGGGGAGACACATGGGAGACACACGGGGAGAGAATAAGAGCTATATAGCTCGGTGAGCCACGTGAATCTCAAGGCCTGGGGGTGGGGGGGGGGGCGGCGGGTGAGCCGTCAGTTCCTGTTGTGCCTCTCACCGTCTCTTCAAATTACCCGTGTGTGCGTCTGTGAATTCGCCCCCTCGCTCGTGCGCGATGCGAGTCCGATCCCGTTCCGTACGATAACGCGCGTGCGCGCATCTCGTCACCCTACGGAAGGCGTCATAATTGCTTTCCGCTTTCTCTCCGCTTGCAGCTTCTATGGAGCGGAGATCGTGTCGGGGCTCCAGTTCCTGCACATGCATCGCGTGATCTATCGGTAAAGCACAGAATGTTCCTCCGCCCTGCAGTAGTGACGCCACGGGCGTACGCCGCCGCGTAGGTTTAAAGCGGCGCGGAACGATCGCTGCGTCGGCTAGCCCGGGACGCTGTGATCGATTTACAGCCGTCAGTTTGGACGATTTGCGTCGGCGCGATGGTGGCTCGTGACAGCTCATATCGTCGTCGTCATTTATTGCAAAATTCACGGCCGAGGCTACGGGCGGGGAGGGGGGGGGAAGAAAAAAAACGACAGTTGACAGAACGATGATGGAACGTTGCCCCGCCTAAAAATAGGTTCGAATTTATATTTTAAAAAAATATATGTGAGAAGGACAAAAAAAGTGTTAAAATAACCTTTTAAAAGTCCCACTAAACAAAGAAAAAAAGAAGCGATGAAAACCAATCCGGGTGATTGAAGTAATTCTCTTACAAATTGAATCTGAATCCAGTACGAGGTGACCACTTTGCATTAGCACCACCAAATGCCTACCCCCCCCCCCCCCCCCACGGCACCAACGCACCGTCCTCACATTCTCTTTTGAAGAAAATCAATGAAGCGCCCAATACAATGTTTCGGAAGCCATTTGCGCATTCCTGATGCACTGGACTCCATAAGAGTGCGCAATAACCAATGTTCTTACTTACTCTTACCGACTAAATTTGCAAGATTTCACTGATTTTATTCCATTTCGCGATTCTCACGACCACCGTAGCTTTACTCGGGACTGCTCGTGGTGGGTTAACTGTCCATGACAGCTTGTGGTTGTTCATGAATGACTTGTGAAAGCTCGTGACTGCTTGGGGTGACTCGTGAAGGCTCGTGACTGCTTGGGGTGACTCGTGACTGCTTGGGTGGGGTGGTGACTCGGTGAAGGCTCGTGAACGCTCGATGCCAATGCGTCCCCCTATCCCACAGCGACCTGAAGCTCGACAACATTCTGCTGGACCGAGACGGCCACGTGAAGATCGCTGACTTCGGCATGTGCAAGGAGAACATCAGCGGAGACCTCAAGACGGGCACCTTCTGTGGGACGCCGGACTACATCGCCCCCGAGGTGCTGAGCTCTCCAGCGTTGGCTGCACGACACACCGGCACAACCACCAGCACCGCCAGCGTGACCACCGCAGCTGCCACCCACACCGCCACCGGAATGATCGCCACAACCACCAGCATCGCTCGTATTGGCCCAACGATAACGGCCGCTGGTCAACATCATCACCACCGAAAAGACGAAGATCCCCCGTGTAGCCTAAACGGACTGTTTAGGGCAAGTGCTGTTGGCGAGTAGCAGCTATTAAGGCCGGCACGGTACACGAGGGGGTGGGTGGCCGGCACCATTCCCGGCCGCCTTTGTCTCCCCAATGGCGATGTTCACACACCACACCAGGTACTCACTTGAGGCGGAGGCGGCCTAGGGGAGACCCAGGACTGGCTTCAGTTAATCGTCACCGGTGTCGGACGTGAGCGAGAATCGATCTAGGATCAGCGGGTTTATAGCGCAGCGCTGTCACCGCTAGCGCTCTGCCTCCTCACTCCCACACACGACAGAGGTCCCCCCGTGTAGCCTTTAATAGACTGTTGGGGCAAGTGCTGTTTGCGCGTTGTTTACGTGACAAACCTTACCGGCTGTTTTTTGGGTTTTAAACCTTACGCGATTTAACCCAAAAAAAAAACCTTGATTGTGAAGAAACAATAAGAGCAAAATATAAAAAAAAAATTAGAGGCAGCGACAATTATTTGCATTTTTCCGTTTTCAATGGGGAAACCTTTCACAAATTCTTATAATTTTCTGACGTGGACATTAACCGAAGAGCCTCAGCGCACCTTTGAGTGCCCCCCTCTCCACCCCCCAATCGCGAATGCAATGCAGATAGAGAACTCCTTCTGCGAAAGCCTTGGATGGGCAACCACAACGTAGTTCGGCCCATGCTTCGGGGACTACTTTGTCAGCAGAGGGGAGTTTTTGTCAAGTAATCCCCACCCCCCCCCCCCCCACAAACTTGCATGCACAAATTACTACAACACAGAGTTGTTGGAAGACTCGATTCTAAACCGTAAGAAGCTTGGGCGAGCTTGTGAAATCTCACTACGGAGGAATTGTGTGTGTATGTTGAACTTTTTTCGCACTACGCGTACGTAGCCAACCGTGCTAATCGGAGGTGCGGGAGGAAAGGACAATGAACTAAAAACAAGAAGCAGTTCTTAAGAAATGAGTTTTCAATCTAGATGATTTATAAGTGCATAGCTCCAGTGGCTTCCTCATATCGGAAGGAAGAGCATTCCAGACGGCCGCAGAAGCGCATCTGAGAGCGCGCGATGCGGTGACCACAGTCTTTGTTCGATGGTTATCCCAAAAGCCGCTGCGAGGATGGAGCGGAGTTCGCTTGACGTTTTGATGCCCCTTGACGAGATGAGCGAGGGTATTGCGGTTAATTTCACAAAGTGCTTGCCATATTATAAGCGAAACAATCCGTAGGTAGCGCGACATCTATTTGCACGGCAGCATTCTCTCCACGCGATTTTCGAATCCATCCGTTGGAAAATGTACGGGCTTGTTTATTTTACAAATTCCGCGTGCGCACGGACCGCACGATTCCCGTGGGCGAGCAGCGGAACGGCGGCAGCTGCCGCTTGCGCTGTCTGTTTTGGGGCTTATCTCTCGTGGTCCGCTCTCACTTCCGCACCGCGGTCCCGTGCCAGGCGTTTGCCGTCGCCCGACCGCAACCTTTGACCTTTGCCACCGGCCGAATCGCACTGTACAGCGCAGACGCCACTCGTCCACTCGCCGTGACGCCGCCGCTTAACGCCAAAACAACACCGTCGGATCGATTCGGCGACTCGCGTTCGCAATGAATTCGAAGCTCCCCACCCCCCCCCCCCCCCCGCCGCCTTCACCAAACTGCAATTGACCAGCATGGTGAAGTATGGTCACGTTGCTTCCATGATCCACACAGCATGGGGAGGGGGCGCCCTCGCCCCCCCCCCTCCCCCGGCCACCAGCAGTGGCAATAACGCAGCACGTGTTCCCACAGTGTAGCCCCAAAGCAGCCTGGTGGTCACCCATCGGAGCAATATCCAGACTCGGCCCCTGCCTTTTAGCTTCGGAAGGTGCGATGAGATCGGGCGCAATGCGGGCGAATCCGCCTGAAGCGTGGGATGTGTTCGAGCACAAATCAAACGCCGTACCTCTGTTGTTTGGGGAGGGCCAATTCCGGCAACGTTAGCGTTGCTGTTTGTGCACTTTGTTGGCCGGAGGTGGTGTTCGTATCCGACATTTTCAGGGCATGTAGCTCATTCGGAGGTCAGTTTAATACGTAGGCGTTTGCATCCAATAAAAAAAGTATATCCATATATTAACCGCTCCCCCCTCCCTCCCCCCCCCCGGCCTTCGCACCTGATTTACTCACAAGTGACGACATCACATTGACCACCCCCTCTATTTAAGACCGAAAGAGGAGGAGGATTTCTCCACAACTCTGTGGCTGTCGCCTGATAATGCTGGTTGTTGTGATTACCGGTGAAACGTCACCCGTACACGAATTGTCAATGTTGTTGGTTTATTCTCCAGCACCGGTGTGCTGTACTAGTAACGATTTGGCATGTTTTGTTTACGTGACAAACCTTACTATTTGGCTGTCGGGTGGTGGCAGGTTTAACGACACATTTATATTTACGCGATCCCACCCAAAAACCTCTTTTATGGATCATTCGGAGATGTCCCCTCTGTGTCTTCTCCCTCCCCTCACCTTCCCGCCCCCCCCCCGTCTCCTAGTTCTCATGACTTCTCTCTTTCTCTCTCGCTCTCTCGCTGCCGTGGGCGACAGATCCTGGCGGGGAATAAGTACGGCACGTCGGTGGACTGGTGGTCGTTTGGCGTGCTGCTCTTTGAGATGCTCATCGGGCAGTCGCCCTTCCACGGCGACGACGAGGACGAGCTGTTCGAATCGATCCGCACCGACGTGCCACACTACCCGCGCTGGATCACCAGCGACTCACGCGGCATCCTTGAGAAGGTGGGGCACGCACGCACGCACGCACGCACGCACGCACGCACGCACGCACGTACGCACGCAAGCGTGTACGCACGCGCGCACGCTTGCGTGCGTACAGCGGGAGCACCCTTGGGGGGTTGTCACTTGATTGAGGCCCGACGGACGAGTTGTGAACGACGCCTATTCTTTTTGTGGCCGATCGCTCGAGCCTCATTCAAAATGACACGGCCGCCTCGATGTCCGATCCCGACTCTGACGCCTGCTGTATATTTGGAGTTTTTTTTTTAATGTTTTCCCTCGTGGTCGCGTGGATTTTTCCGTCCACTTTTTAGAATCGACACGCGCTCAGAGTATTTTGGCTGCTTTCAATTTCCACCTGATAAGGCCGCCACTTCGTTGAGCTATCATTTGTGGCCAGGTCGCTTCTGAAAAATAGTTTTGTAGCTCAGTTGGGCCTCTTACCTGATAAAATAAACAAACAATGTCCCGCCTGCCTCCAGAAGGCGGGAAACCCCCCCGACAAGCCCTTGCTTCGTGATGCCGCTGGCACATTCGGGATAAAGTTGTTGAGGGAGAGATCAACATTTTTTGTTTACCTACCTAATTTAGTTTGTCACTTTGGCCAACTGCGACTCTTAAAGATAAATCATGTATCGAGGCAGGTCAAGTTTAATTTGTTTAACCAGGTGAGAGCTCTGAAGAGACCAGGATGAGTCTCATTTGCAGGAATGGGCCTGGGTTATACCACGAATCACACGGCTATTAAAGTGACTCTTCGAAACAACAGTTCTGCAGAACGGTACAGCTACTTCTACTTCTTCCTCCTAACTACGATCTGCCACGCAGGACAGCGCGCCGAAGAGAGAGAGAGGCGAGGGAGGAAGGAAGAGGGGAGCTAAAAGTGAGAAAGACAAAGGAATAGCGAGAAAGATGAAGAGTGGGAGACGGGACAGAATGAGAGGGTACACGAAGAGGGGTGTCGAGGGAGGGAGTTTTCCCGAGCCATTCGCCGACACAGACGGTGATACGCTGCTCACTGTGGGAGTTCCAAATGGAAATGTAGCGTGAATTTTAATATAATTTGGGGAATTGGAAGCTAAAAAGGTTGTTATTTTTTTAATGAAAGGGATGAACGTGTCTTACTTGCCGAAGCGAAGACGAGCGTCTCTGTGGAAATCACGTTGGGACGATCGGAGTGCAAATGAGTGTCTTCATGGGCCAAGAACATTACGGGCATTTGCATCCGTAAGCTTTTTGTGTGTCTCTCTCCCAGTGGTCGAAATGTGCCAGTGATGTCGGAGCATAGAAGTCCGAGTCCACAAACGGGGGTGTTTCTGCGCTGCCCTTCTGCCGCCCCCAGCAGCCGACAATGCCTGTGTCGTGCGTGGTGGGGGGGGGAGTGGTGGCGCAGCGGTTAGCGCTACGCTGCGCTACGAACCCAGCGACCCGAGTTCGATTCCTGCTCACGGCCAACACCCAGTGACGATTATCTGAACCGGTCCTGGGTCTCCCTTAGGTCGACTCAGCCTCGAATGATTACCTGATGCGGTGTGTAAACATCCCCACTGGGGAGACAAAGGCGGCTGGGCGTGGTGCTGGCCACCCACCCCTTCGCGTTCCGTTCCGACCTTCATAGGTGCTCGCTAACAGCACTTGCCCCAACAGTCTGTTACAGGCTCTACGGGGATCTTTGTCTTTGGTCCGCCAACCTCCAACGCTTTATCCAGGCTCCGCACGGCCTGGCTATTGAGATCAAACGAGATCAGGGTAATTTGGTCACAGGCACATACAAGGATAAAGATCCCCCGCATAGCCTGTAACGGGCTGTTGAGGCAAGTGCTCTCACGAGCAGCACCTATGAAACTAAAAACAAAACTGATTTTATTTCACCAGGTTAGGCCCACTGAGTCATGGCTCTTTTTCAGAAGCAACCTGGCCACATGATAGTTCAACGAAGTGGCTTATCACGTGGAGATTTATCGTCGCAGCCAAATACTCAAAATGCACGTTTATAAATATGGAGAGGAAAACTGGAGGACCCGGAGAAAAATCCACACGACCATGGGAAGAGAACACGCAAACTCCAAATATACAGCAGGCGTCAGGGTCGGGATCGAACCCACGACCTCCTGTATACCAGGCGAGGTAGTTAACATATCGCCAAGGTGTAATTAAGTAAGAACCGTGGCTGACTCCATCCTTTCTCCCTTCTGTGCGATTCCTCCTCCCCTGCCACTCCCCGCTTACCCCCCTCCCCCCCTCCACCAAACGTTGAAACTGCTGCTGCTACCGACAGCTGTTCGAGAGGGACCCTCAGAAGCGACTGGGAATCGTCGGAGACATCCGCGCGCAACCTTTCTTCAAGACCATCGACTGGACCGCCCTGGAAAAGAAACAGATCACTCCTCCGTTCAAGCCGAAAGTGGTGAGTGTCGTGGATTAAACGGAGGCATCGAGGCACGTCCTTTGATCGCTGTGCCACTATCATTCTTTATTCCGTCCGTTGTGTACATGCCGTACAGAGGTCGCCGGCTCGTTTTCCCGGCAAAGCCGGCTGAAAGAGCGATCGATCGGGTTAACCACCCAGGGCACGGAGCTTGTACAATGGCACTGATATTCGTTCGCTCGCGCAACTGCGCGAGCAACTGCATTCAAAGATCCTCCGTAAATCCTTCAACAGACTGTTTGGGGCAAGTGCTGTTAGCTATGAAGGCCGGAACGGTGCATGAAGGGGGGTGGGTAGCCAGCACCACGCCCGGCCGACCTTGTCGTCGCTGATGGCTTACACACCGCATTCTCGAGGGTATTTGGTCTATTCTTCCATGCTGGCCGGACGTGTGGGATGTGGTGGGCGTACACACACTTTATGCCACAACACGCAACCTGCCGACTTCGTTAACTGTGGTTGGACACATTTACACAGAGGCAGACGGTGTTTGGGGGTGGGGGAGCGATTTTAGAAGCTCGCACCGTTGTTTTAACTGCCTCGCCGGGAGATGGAATCGAACCGGCGACCTCCAGATTGCAATTCCAGCGTGCTGCCCGTTACACCACCACGGCATATGAGTGGCAGACACAGGTAAATCTTTATAACCAGGCGAGAGCCCCTTGAGAATGTACGTTTGTTGAACTTGGTTTGCACCGTACGTCGCCAACCGTGTTAATCGGAGGTGCGGGAGAATAAAGATCTCTTATTCCCAAGCGAGAGCCGCTGTCGAAAAGGCCCAGTTGGACCAAATAAAAAAAAAGGTCACAAAAATACGACAACTCGCGTTCAAACATCGACATTGCCCCCGTCGGTCACGCCGCTCGCGCAGCGCAGACCTCTCGCGAAGGGCGCCGCGCACTTCACGGACGTAGCCTGCACGCACAAGCACGCACAAGCACGCAAGCGCGCAACTGCGCCTTACTTTGTCTGCTGCCACCGCCGCTCGTCGGCCGATCCGCGCCCCCCGCCCCCCGCCCCCCGCCCCCCGCCCCCCGCCCCCCACCCTCGCTCGACCGTTGACCCCCTTTGCCTCCCCCGCGCAGAAATCTGCGGGCGACTACAGCAACTTCGACAAGGAGTTCATCAGCGAGAAGGCCAGGCTGTCCCTGGACGAGAAGCGCCTCGTGCAGTCCATGGACCAGTCGGTGTTCAGCGAGTTCACCTTCATCAACCCGGAGTTCAGTCGCCTGCTCAAGTAGCAGCGTGACCGTCCTTGGGGGGAGGGTCCCACCGCCCGGCCGATCGTTTAACCCGCTGGCTTGACGCCGACGTTCACGCTCGGGGAAGGCTTTCGAGGGCGGGGGGAGGGGTTGTGGTGGAAGGGAGTAGGGGAGGGGGGAGGGCAGGAGGCGTGGAAATGCGGGAGGTGGTTTGTCCATGCGACTACGGGGTTACCCTCCTGAATTTTTAATCGGATGCCCACATTGGCATTCCCCTTGATATTGGCACGTCATACACAATTGGGGCAAACCTCGTTTTTCAAAATAAACGTACGTACGTGTGTGTGTGTGGGGGGGGGGGGGATTATTACGACATTCTGTGCGATTCCTATAATAAGGTGGCTACGATGCCACGCGCTCGCGATCCGGGCCACTCGGAGGCAGGGTCGGTGGATTTTCAGAGGTGTGAGGCATGGTGTGCCTGTGCGTCGCTCACAAGGTGGTGCTGCGTGCGTGCGTGTGTGCATGCGTGCGTGTGTAAAGGCGCTGCAGCAAAGTCTGTTCGACAGCAGATTCTTTTGCGCGTGGAGTTTGAGTGTTGTCCTGTGCTTGATCGTGCGCCTTTCTGCCCCGAACTCAAAAATATTAAATTGTCCAAAGGGTCACAAAAGGGGGGAGAACCTCTTGGAAAAAAACACCCAGTGAAGCCCTCTGCTCCACGAAAGATAAAAAAAAAACATTTGTTCTCGTTTGAACATTTATATCGGCGATGAATAACATTTTATATTCCTCTGTAGCCCAGGTACCCTTCTCGGTTTCTTAAATGTTGACGGCTTAAAAAAGAATGCAGTTGGAACTGTTGTTGTTTTTTTTTTAAAATAGTGGAATTCACCATAGTCCCTGGAGTTTTGTTCCATCAAACCCAACCCGTTCAGCTATGGCGTAATTATTATTAATATGAAATGATCATCATAAGAAACGCGTGAATTTTGTGTTTGTTCTGCAGGTATTTACTTTTTTGTCAACTTTAAAAAAAAAGTTTGCGACAAAAGAGGAGGGACCCCCCCATCGAGGATGGGTAAAAGCTGGGGCCGGCAGCTGTTTTACAATGGGCTCATTTTGTGAAATCGCATTACTTAGCAAAAAATGTTTTAAAACGTTGCCGTGTTGTGGTTTCAGAACCATCGGGGCCATATTATTCTAAAGGTTTTCTTGTTTCGCGCGAAATTGGGAAACGTGCGGCTTATCCCAACTGGCTTGTAACGCCCCACTCGGCGAGGTATCGTCATGATGGTCGTGAAAAACGTTTCAATGTTACGGCTGTCAATGCACGGATCCTGACATTGGTACAGAAAATACAACAACAACAACAACAACAAAAAACTCCATGGCAGTAGAAGAGCTTTTAAATTTGCGGCCTTTTTGTTTTTAATACGTTTCGCAAGTCGACGTTTTGTGTCTTATTGATAGAGGCTCGTCGCGGAAGTAGCCCGAGAGAGAAGTGAAGTTGGTACGGACAGAACACGCGGGAATGTGTACACCAGGGTATACGGGGGTCGTCGCCAGAGGCACAGTTCACGCTTTTTCCTCGCTTCGTTCCTCGGAGCGGGGAAAATTTTTTTTAAATCATAACGAATGGGTAAAAACGTTCGACGGGAACGATTGTGTTTTTATTTTTGCCGTATCGGTGTCGGCGCCGGCGTCGTGATGAAATCCTGACTCGGAAGAGAAGTAAAAATCGCGTAACAGCAAACTTACAAACAGGCAAGTCAGAAGTATTTGAGGTGTTTTACCACCTCAAATAGACAGACGAGAGGGGCATTTAATTCCAGAAAAGAGTTAAGTGTGGTTTTATAACTGTTTTGGCTGGTCATTGTATTATGAGGATAATTATAACGTAATTATGTTGACAGCGACGATGATGATGAAATTATTTTATATGGCATGTTAGCAACAGTTTGTACAGATATCATAGTGGAATGTCAAGGTCCTTCAACCAATCCAAGGTGGCAGTAGTTGCTGTATGGATTGCAACAACGATGATGATGATGATTTATAACAGATTTACTCATTTGCTTAATTACGAACGGATGCTCCCAGTGATAGAACAAACTTTGCTCCAAGAAAGCCCACCGGAGGAGGATCTCAGTGCGTTCACGATGCTCCAGTGCACGTTTAAAAGTAGTCGTGTGGCGATTAGTGGATTCTTCGGCTCAATTCGAATCTTGTGCTTGTGATACACGTGTCGAACGGAGCGAGAGTAGCATTCCGTCTTCATCCATTCACGTCGATTTTACGCACACTTTCCGTTTAGACCAAACGTTGCGACGAATGAGAGGCAACTTAACAAGAGCAAAAATAAAAAGAATGGTTAGGCTCTCCGATGTGTTTTCGGCTTGTAGTGCGGGTTGTTTTGGCATGATCATAATCGGAATCTTTATCTCTACTGGAGGAATCCGATGAGCTATAAAGCTTTTTTTCACAGATGTTCAGTAGGGGCGGGTAAGAACGTTACAACAGCAAACGATACAAAAACACGATAGTAGTGTAAAGTACAAAACGCGTAAATGAATCACCCAAACACGTACAAATAAAACTAAACCATCCCCATTCTAGCAGGCAAAACCAACTGAGGTATTAACTTATTTTTCAGACGTGACCTGGCCACAAATGATAGCTCAACAAAGTGGCCCCATCATTTGGACATTCATAGCAGCAAAATAATCGAAGTAATCTGAATCGATGATTTTAAACGTGGAGGGAAAAACCAGAGGACCCGGAGAAAAAAAATCCACTTGACCACGGGGAGCGAGAGACCGCAAACTTCAACTATACAGGCATCGGGGTCGGGATCGGACCCACGACCGCCTGTATACCAGGCGAGATAGTTAACATCTCCTAGCCACCGTGATGATGATGAGAGAGAGAGACACCGCAAACTCCAAATTAAGCAGGCGTCAGGGTCGGGATCGAACCCCCGACCTCCTGCATACCAGGCGAGAAAGATGACATCTCACCACAGTAGCGCCCCTTAAATAGTTAATTCCTAAAAAATACAAGTAAAAATTGCATCATCAGTTCCCAAGCTTGGAAATGGGCTAACAGCAAAAACAGTCTCAGACCACGCCAAGACAACGCTGAAGGGCATGCCCACACACTTAGAAAGTACGTCGGAGAGCTTGTACAATACAGCCCTGAAAACCCTACGCAGTAACATCAGATGTAATATCAACCAGAGAGAGACTCTGCAGAACAGATGGAGCGGTAGAGAGTGGGAGATTGATTTGTCACATGCCCAGTGAAGATCTCCACTCTGTGGAATTCCCTCTGCAGTCGGGTGTTGTCAGTGGGAGCCGATGCAAGAGCGAAAGCTTGTGGAAGACCCAACGCAGAAGATCCCTGGGTTTGATCATCCACAAAGCTCACAGTCCACCCTAAACCGCATCCACCGCACAAATCATGGCAGATTGGGACGCCTGACGCACAAATGGAAAATGTTTAAACTCTCCAGTAGTAGTGTGCGACTGTGGTCATCCAGAACAGGCCGTAGTACAACGTATAACGACGCAATGGCCCAATCCACAAATACGAAGGAGACATCACAGCGATGATACACTACTCCCGACGCGGTTATCTGGCTTGACCACCTGAATGGGAAATTGTAATTATTGCTTTGCATCTACATCGGCCATACAAAATAAAGAAATGAGCGAACGCCACGCGCCCCGAGTTTGATCTGCCGGCGTGGCAGTTGAAACAATGGGCTAGCTTCTTAAATCTCCTTTTAACCGCTTCTGGCAATGCGGCAGAGGCGTGAGCAAGTGCAGTATTCCCTCTTTATTCGCGAGGGATACCTTTCAGAGATGCTCGTGAATAGGAAATTTCGCGAATGATATTGGCCTACAAAACCACCTACCTGTTAAAGCTTCGAGAAGTTCCCCCTGTCTCTCTCATCTCTTTACCTCATCCCTTTTTCTGTCATCATTTTCTCATCACTTTTATCTCCACTTGCTCTTTCGTCACGTTCTCTCCCATCACATATCTCATCACTTTCTCTCTCATCACTTTATATCTCATCACTTTCCCATCACTTTCTTTCTCTCTCGTGTAGAGAGTTCCAGATGCGATTCGCGGATAGCCAAAATCGAGAATGGCAAGTCCGCGAATAACAAGGGAATATTGGAATTGCTGGGCCTGCACCTTTTACCTTGACCAGGAGCAGATGCTCGCTCCATCCCGATCGTTAATGAACGAAAAGCACGTGGGCACTTAGACGTCGGTGGTGAGCAAACAGCAGCTGTTCATGCAACAATAGTAACCGAATGTAACCCGAATGGCATCGGTTCACATTATTTGTAGGATAGCGCCGCCTCGTGTGATGGTTTGGGAGGAAAAAAAAACAGGAATGGATTATTTTTTTTGGTGCTCCCACGTTTTACACCGTACACACTCGAGCCACAAATGGCACACATTGTACAATGATTAGTTTTATTGTTGTTATGATAAACGTACTTGGGAATTGTATCTCCCGTGAGGTATGCAAGTGAAAACTGTGGTAGGTTATAGTGGGTTTTTTGGATAGCTTGTGTAAGTGTGCCCCTTGATATGTTTAATGTGCTTTGGTGATTTGGTGTACGTGTTTGTGAGATGTAAGGTAATAGTCATTAAACACTGTCTATTAAATCCTCTTATTTTATTCTCACAGTGCAGTCCCACTCAATGGATCACTTTTGAGTCATGTTATTATTGCTTTGTGGACCATTGTATTTTGTAACACTTTCAGTCTGTTACTATTCGCAATGTTTGAAAAATCACCCGCTGTTTTTTAATTGTACGGGGGGGACTTTGTGCGTAACTAACGTTGCCTGATTTAAACGGAAAATATTCACGTCTAGCAGCCGTTGTGAATTGCATCCGAACACAAATGTGTGTGCGGTTTTTTTTTAGAACGTTTATAGCATTAAAGTCTGAAGTTTATCGGTACGGTGTTGGATAAACAAGCGATGAGCTTATCGGTCGCCCTCTCGTAGTTGGGGCGCCATTCGCGGTGGGAGAATTTATAAATCTCAGGATGGAGAGAACCAAGGGGCGGGAAATGTTTTGGTGTCGGTGTGTTATGTAGACGAATATCTTGGACGAAAGCAGGTACAAACATTTTACTTAGGATTCCTCGTGTCGTACTTGTGTTAAATATTCCGCCCCTCAACCAAAAAAGTTTTACGAAGCTGAGATATTTTCAGAGGTTAGTGTTTTACCAATGTTTTTATTACTACTCGCTTCACCGTTTCACCACTGAGGGCCAAGAAATGCCAGAATATACTTTTTTTTTGCAAATCTGGAAATTATTATTGCAACATCAAATGAAAGTGTGGACGTTTTTGGCCACACTCAGAACTATTCTGATGTTATTCCTGTCAAATTTATAAAATCCGATTAATATTCTGTCAAATTCCACATGTATATAACGTAGGGGTCTTTGAAATGAAAACTAAATACCAAAATGTGCAAACTCTTACCCGAGTTTTTAGAAATAACAAAAATGTGGCATTTTAACGAATTAGTCACGTCAAATAGGGAAACTCGCGTGTTTTCTTGCCTGAAATGTCACCCTTCCCCATGATCCTTTATGAAACCATTACCGTATTCTCTGGATGGATAATAAGACCCGCTGGAAAGACGCACCCAAATCTTGTGCCCGTGTGTCAATGCACAAAGTTATACAAATTTGGTACCAATATACCTACCGGTTAATGAGACGCGGCAATACAACGTCACTGTACTTTCAAATGTTTTGTTGTATAGTTTGGAGAATACGGTAATCTCCCCAGCGCTTGCCACCACGTGCAAGAGACTTGTGTCCATCGTCAGTGAAGTGCCGTTTCGTGTGCAAGCTTTTACGATGGATGCGTCATGTCACTCCACCCGGGTACGGAATTGTAGCAGAGCTGTCCCATGGTGTCCCCGTGGCTTTTAGTGGCTGCGTTATGCTGTACGCGCGTGTATTATAATTATACCATTTGGATTTTCACACTTGTTGGTTATCTAAGGCCAGTTTAGTGGTGGTGGTGGTGGTGGGGTTGAATGTATTTCTCGTGCTTTTTTAGCCATTGTTGTACTTGATCTTCGTTAGGCATCAAAAGTACGTTCATGTGTATCGTCTTAAGGAAAATAAGAAAAAAACGTGCTTACCGTGACGGGACTTGGGATGCATCCGTTCTGCCGGAACGATTCCGTGTGTCAGCACCCCCCCCCCCACTCCAAGTCGTCGGTTGCACGCAACATGTCGCGAGCGACTCGCGTTGCCTTTGTCGCGAACTGTTAACTGCGTTTACGTGACCGACCAAAAGGGGAGGTTATATTTACAAGAGGTGGCGCTGTGGTGTCTGTCACCACCAAGAACGCACCCGATCTCTTTGTCAGATCCTGAAGGCTCGGCGGGCGGTGAGCCCTGGGATGGTCGCTTGAAAATCGCGACAAATTTTTGTCGTGGTGCTGCAGGCGGAGGTATGCTGTGGGTAACAGGGAGACCGGTGCGGAAAATCCCATTGTTGGTGCGGTGTATCCGTGCTGTGAGGGGTCTGCTCTCTCCCCAGCCAAAAAAAACCCACCACAACGAATATAGCGGCGGATTTTCAAAGTGTATCCAAGGACTCCTTTACATACGAACATTCGACTTATGAACTTTCAGAGATACGAACAAACCTGTCCGTTCGGAACGAGAGTCGTAAGTTTAACCGCCGCTGTGGTGGGATCTATATTTGCAGAACGTGAAGAACCGGTGGCATCTAGATATCCATGATATATATTTTTAAAGCCATTCCACCATTTCGATTTAAAGCTTTCGTGACTGCAATGATTCATCTTCTTTGGTTCTTTCGGTAAAGTCACGTAGAATTATTGTATTCTCATTCTACGTGACTTTACCGAAAGAACCAAAGAAGACCATTTCACCATGTTTAGTATACATGCCGTACACAATGTTTGAAATCGACAGGAGTAAAGTTGGACTTAGGAACAGACCTCTGGAACCTCGCTAGTTCGTAAGTAGAGGAGTTCCTGTATACACATGGCCCTCCTGGTTTTGACAGCTCTAAGCTCTAGAGCTCCCTCTAGTGGGGAAGGCCCCCCCCAGCACATTGGCGTGCAGTGACCGTGAGCGTAACCTCCGACCTTCAGTCCAGCATCGCGACGCCTGGTGGTGGTAGATTGTAACGAAGCAGGTGGCGCCCGTTGAGATATTGGCAAAAAGCAAAGCTACACGGAACGAGAATGTGTGTAGTTGACTCGAGGGGCTTGGCTTTTTTTCGTGGTGAATGTGGGGCGATAATTTTTTTGGCGGGAGGGGGGGGAACTAAATCTGCTGTAATGTTTAGCCGTGGCATTCATTGCATGTTGCTCCTTCGGCTTTTGCATCGAGGCCTGTGTCCGTGTGTGTTTTTGGCATTATATTTTCTATATGGTGGCTGGGACAAGGTGCTTTATGTTAACGCGTACTTCGTTGGGATATTGAAGCCCTCCATTATCATCTACAATAGTAAAATAATAATCGGATTGCGTGCGCATTGTCCGGTGACGCAGCTTTCATGCCCGTGTAAATACGCAGTTACGTTGTTTGTGGTGGTGTAATTGGGATTGTCATGGTACAGTGATGTCAAAATGTATCCGTTTTTATAACGTAGATATACAAGTTCTATTAAATGAATGTACAACTTTACTTGCCGTTCTCTGAATGCGTTAATTCATTCGCAAAAGTTGTATTCAAGTATTTTCATTTAGCGCGGAGGTCGGGTCGGGGTCAAGAGGCGCCGAGGCTGGTGCCGGATGAGTCCTGGGTTCGAACCGTGGAAGCCACCGCCCGTGATAAAACTGGGTTCCCCTGTGCGGTCAGTCGATTGTCTCAGCCCGGTCGTACACGACTGCCTGGTTAACACGGAGGCTTCTGCGAGCAACATTATCCACAATATAGCTGTTTGAGTTAGACCGCATAATCAACGGTACATAATGCACATAACGTAATGCACATTATGTATGTTGATAATATACATAATGCACATTATGTATGTTGATTACCCAATAACCCCACCGGTAATGGATATCCGTTGTCATTTATATGAATACATTAACCCCCCCCCACCCCCTCTGGTCTTCGCACCTGATTGGCTCACGAGTGACAACGTCACATTTACCCCTCTCGTTAAGACCCATGGAGGAGCATTTCTCCAGAACTCTGGCTGCCGCCTGATGATGCTGGTTGTAATTACCGGCAAAACTCGAATTATAGATGTGGGTTTACTCTCCAAGACACCAGTGTGCTGAACTAGTAACGAATTAGCTTGTGTTTACGTGACAAACCTTACTAATTGGCCGTGGCGGGTTTACCGACGCATCTATATTTACGCGATCTAACCCAAAACCCTCGATTATGGAAATGACTGCCTGCCAAAAAAAAATACTCCCCATCACATGAATTTTGGCTCTGCACTTAGTGTGGCTAAATTCCTGCTCTTACGAGAATCTAAATAGAATATTGTCTTGGTGGTACTGTCACGTGGCAAATATTTATCTCTGCAGTAGAGCGGTTGGGGAAGGTGCTGCTGCTCTTTACTGCGTGGACCAGAATGTCACTTGAATTGACCTGGGGGGGTAGCTCTGTGATATCAACTTACGTGCGCTATTCTGCAGACGAAAAGGGTTGTCACTGTTCTGCAAGGGACCCGCAAGAATACTTAAACCTCGTGACGTGACGTCGATTGAATGGAAAGGAGTTTGCAGTGCGTGTAAATACCATTCTTAAACGACTTCTCTGTGAGATTTTCGAGTGGGTACTTCGTCTCGTTAGGTGACTGAAAGCACTGAAGGGGGAGAGAGAGAAAATACATCGAGGGGGAAGGACAACAGAAATATGTGAAGAAGAAAAAATTTATTCCAATTAATAATTTTCATCATCTAACGAAACCCCCCCACGGTTCGTGCTACTGACTGCAACCGTGGATCAGTCGAATTTTTTGACGCCAGTGGTTCTTAACCTTTATTGCAGCCTTGCACCCCTTTGGTACTCAATCGTAAAAAAACATTTATAAAGTTAATAAATAACATGGGGTTTTATGAAACTAAGTTGTTACGTGCCCGTGCTTGATTTGTGTCGTGATGATTTACCTTCACAAAAAAAATCTGGCCATGTCTCGCACCCCCAGAAAGGGCATCTCGCACCCCCAGGGTTAAAAAGAACCACTGGTTTAGCCATTAGATTGCACGCGATATTCAAAATGCACAACACGCGCGGGCGGTTCTCGATCATTCTCCTCAGTTTTACCCAGGAAAGACTCCCCCAGTCTCACTACTTTCTCAGGCAGTGCTGGATTATCCCAGTAGCACAAGTAGCTACATATGTAGTAGCTACTCATAGGGGCCCCCCGACTTGCAAAGGGCCCCGGGCTAAATACTTTCAAGCTATCAATTCCGGTTCAGTGATTTTGCACTTGCTCAATCACTATAGTACAATACCGCCTTCAACATTAATGGACGACTGGGTGTTTTAAGGTTAGCGATTTGTCGTATTATCTGGATGTATAGCAAATGAAAACATACTATGCAAATAAAAAATGTTTTAACATGTTATTTTTTTATTTATTTAGGGCCACCTTTATAACATGTGCTACAGGCCCCGCGCTAGCTTAATCCGACACTGCTTTCAGGAGTGGGGTGGGGTGGTGCATTGATTGAAATGTATGGGAGATAATTTGCGAATTTCAAATTTGGACCGTGACACCTGGCACGCAATGGCCTACTCTCACGTCGCTTGCTATTACGTCCACTCTAAAGCAAGACGCCACGTTCTGTTGGTGGTTTTGTGTGGTTGTGTCAATACGTCCTCAGTAGTAAATAACCAGGGCGGCCGCTGGAAATGTTCGAACCCGTAACTCTCTGTAGGCAGCACGTGGGATGGTGAACGCGCTACCGCTCGGTCAACGTCACCGCCCCTGTGTAAATAGAAACTTCGATAATTTTTCGAAACTTTTTTTCTTCTTCAAATAATCGATCAATTCGAATCAATCCGGGTTATCGATACAAAACTTAAGCCCCGCCCTTGCCGCTCCCACCCACCCCACCCCCGCGCTCACCCCACCCCCAACGCACCTCAGTCGTGCGCTCCCATTGGTCCGGAGCCTAGTCACGTGGTCTCCCGGAACTTGCCCCCGCCCCACGTGTCGACGTCGCCACGTGGGCGGTCGTGAGTGGCTGAGGGAGCTTCACGAGCAACAAGCGGCGACAGTGGAAGCTGCGACAATGGCTACAGCGACACTGACGACGCGAGCCTTCGTGCTCTGCTCCTGGGCTCTCCTCCTGGCCGCCGCCGGTCGGGCCGAGGAGACGCTGGTGAACGAGGAGGTGCGCAGGCTGCTCGACCTGTCCACGCACGTGGCCAAGTCGACGGCGGACGTGACTCTGCTGAACCGAGGCGGGGAGGCGGCGTCTCATTTCTTCCTCGTCTTCGACGCCGAAATCGCCCCGCATCTCGCCTTCGTGGGCGCCAAGGCACGGGGCTGTGTGTCTGTGTCTCTCTCCTGTCTGCCGCTCACACACCCACCCCCCACCTCCCCGGTGTCTCTCGCGGGGTCGGAGAATTCAAGTCGGGAGCGGGGAGCGAGGAGCTCGACTGTGTGTTGTCGATGACAGCCATGAATGAATTTGCAACTCGAAAAAAAGGCCGCAAAGTTTTTGGGGGGAGGAGAGTGGGGAGGTGATCGGGCTCCTCTGCTTGGCGTGTTCCGTGTGTTTCCACGTCGTTCTGTGTGATGTCCTGTCTATTTTCTGCCCGTGGGTTCGAGTCATATAGCCTTGCTTATACCTAGGTTGGTGGAGCGCGTTAGCTCACTGAGCTTTGACCTCGATCGCCTGATTTGCGATGCCGAGGCAGTGGTTAACAAAGCTCGTCCGCTCCCGGGCCTCCCCTTCAGCTCGCATTGACCAACGTGGCGCGTGGCGAAGTATGATCATACAACCCATAAGATACACAATACAAAACAAATCAATAACACTGCCTTCGGGGGGTGGGGGGGGGGGGTAATGAAAGCGACGTTTCGGGCAATGGCCCTTGCGCATCGCCCAATAATTTGACACGCTAGACACGTCGCAGGTGACGTCTTCATCGAGCAGTGGACCGGCCCTGGGCGTTGATCCTCTGTGGACATCGCAAGTCTGCTGCGTCTTGTACCTGGCCCCGTATTGTGGGTGCCTTCCGTTCTCTCACTCGTCTTAACGGTGGATACTAAACCACGCGCAGGGCGATTCGTAAGGCTGTAGAACGCGAGACTTTATATTATAAATCCCATAACTCCGTATCGCCCCCTCCCTCCCATTCATTGCCTCGCTGCTGCTGCTGGCCCGCCAAGGCTTTCGCTTTGCAACTTCCTCGGGGGAGGCCGCGGTGTAGATTTGGTAGCGCGGATAGGAGTCGGGTGGCGCGGTGCCGCGCTCCCATTGGCTGGGCTGCCTCGAACCCCTCCTCCCTCACCCCCCCCGTTCCTCTCCCCCCTCCCCTCCTCTCCCCACCCCTGCCCCCCCCTCCTCTCCCTCCCGCTCTTTCCCCCCCTCTCCCTCATCCCCCCCCGCCCCCCGGATGCGTCTCCACCAATGGGAAAGCCGCGCAATCGTCGCGGTCTCGGCCAATGGGATGGCTGCCTTAACCCCCCCCCCTTTCACGTGGGTGCCTATGCGTTGTAGGGAATTGCGCCGGAGCCCGAGTGTGACACGTAGGCAGCGTCACGCTCGATCCACTGCTCGATGGATGAAATCGCTGTCGACCCATACGCTTCTTCAGCCCGTGTTCCTGTGCAGGGAAAATTGAGTTTTCACGTCCATACGGCGCAACAGCCGTTTCAATACGGGCAAAAAGTGTCTTGTCTGTGTGTTCTCTCTGTTGTGATGGGACTTTGTAGGATGAACGTTGAGATTTATAAGGGGCACGGGGTGACCAATAAGGTCTGAATTGGTCTGTAATAAGATGGGCACTGATAAGGGGTTGACAGGTTTGTAGTGGTGAGTGTAGTGGTAAGTGTATTCGTGGTGAGTGTTGTAGTGGTTATTGTCTATTTGTTTGAGTTTCTCCCTTGTGATGGGACTTTGTAGGATGAACGTTGAGATTTACAAGGGCACGGTGTGACTAATAAGGCCTGAGTTGGTCTGTAATAAGCTAGGGCACTGATGAGGGGTTGACAGGGATGCAAAGGCCTTAAGCTCTCGCTGGCGGCCACGCTCGATCCACCACCGCTCGATGAAGGCCAAAAGCTCTAGCTGGCCTGTTTAGGGAGGCCTCTTTAAGAGGCCAGCTGTAATCGCACGCCAGAGTCATAATTGACGTGGGCAAAACAAAAAAAAACTTCCAATAATAATTCGCACGCGTCAAATGTTGCTTATGGTTGGGCCCCATACTTTAACCGCGCGGGCCGGTGCGGTGGTAGACCATCAACCGAATCAGGACCGGGCCATGTGGCCGATGCGGCCAGGCGATGCCACAAATGGGGCATCAAAAGTGCGGCAATGAATCCCAAACCATCGACCCACATCGTAAACTTTAACCTTGCGCTATTAATCCGCACGAAAGAGGAAGAGTGCGGTGATTTTACTGAATGGTGATCGCGGGTGGCAGATTTTTTTTTTTAATAATCGCTCGCCACTGATGTAGGCCGTGGAATCGAGCGTGGATATCTGGGTTTGGTAGCACTAGTGCGCTAACCACTCTGCCACCGCTCCGCCCACTCCCCTCCTTTATTAACCTTACCAATTTCTACGTTAGCTACCCACGAACTGGCTTGTTATTATAACCCCCCCCCCCCTCTAGTCTTCGCACCTGATAGGCCTACAGGGTCCGATTTATATTTATACCATCTAACCCGAAAAAAACTCTCTCATGGCCTGTTATATTCGCAAATTGCGTGCCCGAGTCAGAATTCAGGTAACTTGTATGTTCCTGCATGTACTCCCCCCCCGCCTTCACAAACCCCTACGGACCAGCGTGGTGAAGCATGGTCAAACGATGCGCACTGCATGGAGAGATAAAGTAGGTACCAGTACCACTTTGTGGTGATGGCCATAAGAATGTAGAATTTATGAGACTGGTTCAGATGAGCATTGGCTCAATGCAAATTGGACCAAGCAGCGGATATTTTTTTGGCCATTTCACTGAAATAATAACCCGTGCTGCCCTCGTTTAAACACTTGGTGGTAGTCCCCTTTAGATAGATTTTGCTGAGCGTGCAATGAATTTGATAACGATAAAAATCACTCGCTGCAACCGCTTACAACTCCGCAAGGACCTTCCATGGGGTTATCACGGTTTTTTTTTTTTCCAATGGCAGACCCTCAGTCGGGAACTCGACAGCGTGTTTTTTTTCCCCATTGGCAAAAATTTTCATCCAGCGCACTCATCTCGGTTTCCACAAAGTGCGACAAGTGCATTGGAAACCGGAGTCATTTGGAGAAACGTGTACTTTTTTTGCAAAGCATTTCGCTGCATAAATGATAACTAAAAGTTTTGCTGGCTTGGACAAGACGGATGGATAGCCACGTCCAAAGGATGTGCACGTCGCTGGTTTATCTGAAAATGCTTTGTGTAGAAAAAAATGTCTTGGCATACTGTTACAAAGCTGCAAGAATGAAAGGTTGTGCATGTCGAATTCGTTGACGCGCTTGTTAATTCTTTCTTGACACGCTTGTCTTTTACAGTTAAAAGCCAGTGACGATGATGACCCCTCTCTCCTAATCTCGCAAACGACCATCAAGGGACACAGGTAACCGTGCAGGTCACCCATAGCCCCCCGTATGTTTTTCATGAGTACAAAGGCACACCCCCTGTATATCTGTTCAATGTGTTCTGCAAGTCACTTTGCGACAAAGGATTTATTATTTAACATATTTAAGTTTGTGAAATTATTATTTTTTTTATGTTGCGGTTGCCTTTGTTCTTATTTCTATTTGCCTCATTGCTGTACGTAATTTTATTTGTGTTGCCTTCGTAATATTTGGTGGCCAAGGGCGCGATTGCAAATTGCGAACTATATCCTGGTCCCTCTTTGAGTTCTCACCAGATTAAACAAATATCGGTACTTTCCTTTGACTATTCCATATTCAATTCACTCCCGTCACTTTCACACTGGTGGTCAGTCGCCTCCTCATCACTCTTCTATTGCTACTACGATCACGGATTTCTGTCCCTGTGAATTCGCCAGAGGTGTGAGACCGTTCATTCCCTTGGGCCAAACGGGTCCTTAAGGCGCCATTTGTGGGGCCACCCATTAACCCCCAGACCTCCCGTCACTTCTGTCGCTGCAAGGGGCTCTTAGAGTACAGCAAGGTGGAAAAACAATACAACGGTAATGTGAAATGCAATCGTTAAGTTGTGGAAAATTTATAACGCGATGATTTTTTTATTTAAAGCTTTCGTGACTGCAGGGATTCATATTCTTGGTTCTTTCGGTAAAGTCACGTAGAAGGGAAACAATAAAATATATTGTTTAATATTTTTATTATTTTATTGTTTCCCTTCTACGTGACTTTACCGAAAGAACCAAGAATATATATCGCGATAATTGTCAAGTGGTGAAATTTGAAATGGAATCGTATGATGACGAGCAATATCGCGGCAAGCGAACTTGTTACATGCTTGCTCTTTTTACCGAATGCATCAAAGAGGGAATGAAACGACATGCGTATGTTCACTTAGTAAATGTATCCTTAAAAAATATTTTTAAAAAATTTGATGCCGAGTGTCTGCTGCTACTGTGTCCTGCACGGCGCTTTGAGATCCTTGATGAAAAGCGATATACAGATGGAATTATTATTACGTGTGCGTCTCTCTCCATCGCGTGGTGCTATCCACCCACCCCCTCGTATGCCGTACCGTCCCTTTGTAGGTGCCCGCTTACCAGCACTTGCCCCAAATGTCTGGTGAAGCTGTACGAAGGGGGATCTTTGTCTCGCCCACAGTGGCTCGGCGTACAAGGTTCACCTGGCGTCTCCGCTGGCCCCCGGCGAGCGCGTGACCGTGGCGACGGAGACCGTGTTCTCGCACTCGCTCTCCCCGTTTCCGTCGAAGATCGCGCAGACCGAGCGCCAGCTGGTCGTCTTCGAGGGCAACCACTACTTCTACTCGCCCTACCCGACGCTCACGCAGAACACGCGCGTGCGCCTCGCCTCCAAGACCGTCGAATCCTACTCCAAGCTGCAGACCACCACCAAGACGGACGACAGCATCGAGTACGGGCCCTACACCGACGTGCCGCCCTTCAGCCACGTGAGTCGCACTTCCCTTGGCCTCACCAACTGACGCCCCCCCCCTCTCACTTCCATGCCCCCACCATGACCCCTGCACTGGGCATCGTAGTCCACGGTTTCGGAGGCGAAGTGCGGTCCGGCGGGTCGTGAGAAGGGGAGGCTAAAGCTGCGTGTTGGCGTTTGGCGGACCGGGTGGTTTTTTTGGGAACGTGGGTGTAGGGGTTGGGGGGGGAAGGGAAGGGAAGGTTTTGCGTTGTGAGTGTTTTAACTTCCCCGGAGATTCTTGGTTGCAACGTTACTAAACTGAACACAGTGCTTGTGCGATTTGAAGGAATATGTATCTCAATGGGCGATTCCAACGTTTGTATTGTGAACGTAGGATTGTTGTGATTTGCAAGTCTCCCAATTGTTACACGCCTGCCGTCATTCTTTCTCTGCTCTCCAGCATTTATAGAAATGTAATTCTCCTCAGGCCCCATGGTACGAAGTGCAGTCTCCCAACTCATTATCCCCTCCATGCGAAATCTTGTTTGCTGTGAAGAAGTGCCACACTGCTCGATACGTCGCCCGTCAAGGCCACAGTGTCAATGACGAACGCTTTGCGTTGTCACTTGCCCTTGTGCGCCACTGCCAACCCAGCGGTAGTAGCAGCAGCAGCGCTACCGCCAAATCAACGTTGCTCTAATCCAGTGGTTCTTAACATTTTCTGCAGCCTTGCACGCCTTTGGTTATCAATTGTAACAATTTTTTTTTTTTTTACAATATCAATAAATACGTAGCTTTAATCAAACGATGTATGTTGTTACTTACGTGCCCAGAAAGGGAATCTCGCACCCCCAGGGGGTGCGTGCACCCCAGGTTAAGAACCACTGCTCTAATCGTTTACGGTCACCGCCCCGACCCCGGTTGTCTCGCCCCCGCGATCGCGACAGGACCCGCTGCGCGTGCACTACGAGAACAACTCTCCCTTCCTGACGGTGACGCGGCTGACGCGCGTCATTGAGGTGTCGCACTGGGGCAACATCGCCGTGGAGGAGACGCTCGACCTGCGCCACTCGGGCGCCGTCCTGCAGGGGCCCTTCTCCCGCTACGACTACCAGCGGCAGCCCGACAGCGGCGTCTCCTCCATCAAGTCCTTCAAGGTGCCGCCCCCACGCATTCAAGTTACGACGCGTGGGACGGAGTAGAGTTGGGCCTTCCTGATTACAAGAAGGATCCCGTTTTAACGCGTTAGTAGGTCTCTACGTTGGCCTGTGAATTTTTTGTGTGAAGACAGTGGTTGTGACTAGGCAAGTGGCGTGGAATAGAAGCACATGGAGAGAGAGAATGAGCATGTAACAACGCGTGTGCGTAGTAGTAGAGACGCCGCGTTGGGCGAACAGCGCGTTGGGCAGAAACATTTTAACCGTAAATAACGTTAACGGTAAAGTTTAGCGACATACGGTGTACTACTACGCACACGCGGTAAGATGGCGGGACAAATAATGCCGTATACGCCCCTCCGCATTACTGTATCATTCTGCGTTACTGTATCACTGTGCCACTCGGTCGCACCGCTCAAGAAAGTAGTTTGTTGTTGACCGCTCAGAAACCGCGTTGTAACGACGGGTTGTAACTGCGCGCATTCCACGTTGTAACGGTTCCCATTCCGCGATGTAACGGCGACCATTCCGCGATGTAACAGCGCCTGTTCGGCGCTCTACCGGTGCCCGTTCTGGATTGTAACAGTGCCCATTCTGCGTTTTAATAGTGCCTGTTCCGCATTGTAACGGTGCCTGTTCCGCATTGCACCAGTGTCCGTTCCGTGTTGTAATGGTTATCGATCACTCTACCCGTTATCGGTTTGGTTACTCGACTAAATCGGACAGCGCGGAAATAATGTCCGCTTCCACCGGCGAGTGCCCCTTGGTTAGACTGCCATTGGGCGTCCCGACATGCACGGGAGGCTCGGTGTTGACATTCAGTGATGGTGAGCGGAGATGTGGGAACTATCGGAGAAGGAGGCGAGAAGAACGAGGTGTTGGAAAGGGCGGAGATGAGAACGCCAAAGGTGGATGTTGGGAAATCTCTTTTTTGGGAAAGGAGGAGAGGCGATGAAGACGTTAAGACTCGTCGTTGAAGTTACTAATGATGTCCAGAAGGTAAGGGAGGTTAAACTTAGATGGTTTGGGATTGTTTTGAGAAGAGATTAAGAAGATCCAATGAGGGGGGCTATGGAGATTAGAGACCCATAGACTCGCGTAGAAATCCACATATTAAACCGAGATGTGTTAGCCTGTGGATCATGTAAGCGAACGCGAATCTGTGGGTCTCTACGTTGACCTGTGAATTTTCTGTGTGAAGACAGTGGTTGTGACTAGGCAAGTGGTGTGGAATAGAAGTACATGGAGAGAGAGAATGAGCATGTAACAATCGGGCTTCTGGATTTGAAGAAGGCGACGATGACGACGACGATGATGACGACCGCCGTTTCCTTGGCAGACGATCCTCCCCGCGGCTGCCCAAGACGTCTACTACCGCGACGAGATCGGAAACATCTCGACGAGCAACCTGCTGGTGCTGGACGACTCGGTGGAGATGGAGGTGCGGCCTCGCTTCCCGCTGTTCGGCGGCTGGAAGACTCACTACTACATCGGCTACAACCTGCCCAGCTACGAGTACCTCTTCCACCACGGTACGATGGTGCCCACAACCCCCCCCCCCCCCGGCAACCCACTCCCTAGCACGAAAATGGGGTTCGCCACACTTGTGGCCCCACACACACGTGGCCAACCCCTTTTTGAGCAACGTCACGGGATCGGTAAAATACCAGCGGGCTGGCGGGTACCCCCCCCCTCTCCACTGCCCCCTCCCCGTCTGTAACGACCGCCCACTTACCGCCCACACACCCCCCACCACCACCCCCCCCCCCCCTCTGCTCGTCCCCCAGGCGAGCAGTACGCGCTCAAGATGCGCTTTGTCGACCACGTCTTCGACGACCAAGTGATCGATGATCTGACGGTCAAGATCATCCTGCCCGAGGGGGCCAAGTACGTTGCGTTTGATATTTAATATATATTTCTCTCTCTCTCTCTCTGTGTCCGTCAAAGTCGCATGCGCCCGTCGTTTTCCTCCGCGAGCGCAGCTGCTACGAGACTCCCCCCCCCCCCCCCCCCATCACGCATGTGGGCAGCAGTTAGCTAGAGCCCCCTCCAGGACATGGAGGGTTGCTGCCGCTGCCCCGTGTGATGTTAACGGACGGCACGCTCGACTTGCGAATCCCGAGGTCGCCGCTACGGTTCAAACTCCGTGGGGGCTCCGCCAGTCTTTTCCGTCTGGGTGCTGCCGACGGCTGGGAGATGTTAACTACCTCGCCTGGTATTACTGGAAGCCGCGGGTTCGATCCCGACCCTGACGCCTGATGTTTATTTGGAGTTGCGAATGATGATCGAGGGGATCGATGCCTCGCCGAGGGAGAGGAGGGGCGCGCCGCGTGAAACGCGCGCATCACGTCCGCACCGTGGGGCGCGCAGGAACATCGAGGTGCAGCCGCCGTACGCCGTGTCGCGCTCGCCCGACGAGCAGCACTTCACCTACCTGGACACGTTCGGGCGGCCCGTCATCGTGGCCCACAAGAGCAATCTGGTGGAGAACCACATCCAGGACTTTGTGGTGCGTTACGCCTGCCCGGGTCCCCCCCTTTTTTTTTTTGTAAAAATAAAAAAATCATCAGTCTGCGAATGTTATCCGGATTTGTGGCCGTGCTTACCGTTACCGTGAACTTCACTTGCGGTTGGCTACGTACGGTACGAAAGAAGTTCAACGTACGAACACGTTGCAGACTCGGTATGCTAGACCGGCTCTTTCATCTCGTCCATGCTGCGTTCAACCACCACCACCACCACCACGCTGCACGCCCACAACAGCTCGCTCACACACTGTGACCCACCCACTCACCCACCCCTTCACTCACTTGATCATCCGCTCACTCAACCGCCTGCTCGCCCACCCACTGACCACACCGCAGGTCAAACACTTAATGTCGGTCAAGTCAAATGACAACGTCGCACACTTTTCAGTGTTTCAGAATGGTGGAGGCCGAGCCTCCACCACTCGGGCTGAGCTCAGTCTTGAGCCGCCAGGTTTGCTCCCAAAGATGTCAAGAATGAGCAGCAGCTCAGCGTCACGTAAATCTTGACCGGGGCTGGCACCACGCTCAGAGGGTCGGCTCCGGTTCGGCATGGTGGCTTTCAGCCTTTAGTCCGAGAGCCAGGCATGAGCCTGACCGTGTGCGTGCCTAAGGATAACAGGCCTCATTGTGGAATCGGCAGGCTTGGACGTTGACTTAAACTTCCGTAGGATATTTTCAGCTTAACTGCCTCGCCTGCTGTACAGGAGATTGTGGCTTAAATCATGTATATTTGGAGTGTGCATGTTCTCCCCGTGGTCGCGTGGTATTTTCTCCGGGTCCCCCGGGTTTTCCCCTCCCCGTTTAGAATCAACATCACGCGTTTAGATCATTTGGCTGCTATACATTTCCACGTGATAATCAACTTTGAGCAATCATTTGTGGCCAGGTTGGTTCTGAAAAATAGCTATATAGCTAAATGGGCCTTACCTGGTAAAGTAAAAATGAGTTGTTTAGGTTTTGTGATTTGTTTACCTTTCCTGTACTCGTATAATTTTGTTGTATTGTTTCTTGTAACAGTCTGACCCGCTTCTACCGGACATCTGTGAAAAAGAGCTTCATAGCTCGTCGGATTTCTCCAGGATAAATAAAAGAGTCTGGTTCTGAAAAAATAGTTTTGATTTAGCCCGGTCGTCTAAACCGCCGATCGAACCAACATGGCGGTGGTGCTGGCGTGTGCCCGTCCCTCCCTGCGTGTCCACAGCTCTACTACACCTTCAACAAGGTGCTCATGCTGCAGGAGCCACTGCTAGTCGTCGCCGCGTTCTACATCCTCTTCTTCACGGTCATCGTCTACGTGCGTCTCGACTTCTCCATCACCAAGGTGACGGCCCCTGCCTCGCCCCAAATGCCCCAGTGCCACGGGGGGGGAGGCAGGGGTGGGCTGCCCCCCCCCTGCCCCCCGCTACCCCGCCCGCCCTCTCTTAGAGAGGATCTCGAGCACCCAACAGTGGAGGCCGTTGCGCCAGGAGTGGTGCCAGCCAAGCACTTGCCGGGCTGCACCTTGACCTTTTTTAACGTATAGGGGGCTGGGCTGGCCGGCTCCTGCTTCGTCATCCGTCAATGTTCTTTTTTTCTTGTTTATTTCCGGCCTTCCCGCTCCCCCCCTCCACCACCCCCCACCACCCCCCAACGGCGCTGCCGCGCAGGACCCGGCGGTGGAGACGCGCATGAAGGTGGCGTCGATCGTGGAGCAGACGGTGGGGCTGGTGTCGCGCCGCCTCGCCGCCTACCGCACCTTCGACGAGGCCGTGAGCCGCTACAAGTCGGCCAAGGAGACGGCCGTGCTGGCGGCCGCGCGCAAGCAGCTGGACGCCGAGCACCGCTCGCTCACCAACGAGATCGCCGGCCTGCAGTCCCGCCTCAAGACGGAGGGCTCCGACGCCGCCGAAAAGGTGCGTCGGCCCGCGCGGCGAAATACGGACGAGCGACTTCCACCGCCCCCCCGCCTCCCCGCCACGATCGACGCGTTGCCGGCGGGTGGTGACGGTGCCCCGCAGTCCCACGCGACCGAAAGCTTCGCTGAGTGAGAGCGCCGAGTTGAACGTCGTTATGCCGTCGGACTACGGTGGACCTGTCTAAAATGGTACGAGTATCGATAGTTTTTTTTTTTCCGCCCGACCGCCGGGATGACCCAAGCCCCCCCCCCCCTACAACAGACTCTGGGTCACAGCACTGCGTCGGCAGCGATGCGATTAGTCTTCCTGTAAGAAGCGCAATGCTTGAGTGGCTCTTCGTCACCTTGTTGTGGTTTAGGTAGGTCGATAGTTGGTGTTGTTCAAGGACAGCCCTTTGAGTCGATCCGCTGCTAGATGGGGGCCATCCCCGACGCGTCATGTTGCTGATGTGTGTACACAAGCGAGGATACATGTCAAATCTATGCAAAGTTGTGCTAGAGAATGACAACATTCGCATTGCACGAATTCGAACACACACGAATGGAGGCCTGTTCTGACCTTGGCGATGTTTACCCCAAGAAACTAAGCACCTTATTACAAAGGATGACAAATTATTGTTATTCGAATCTTAATCCTTTATTCTCCCCAGGGTCTCCCTTGGCAAGAAAAGGAGTCTGTTAAAATGGGGGCTCTCGCCTGGTTTCAGTTGGAAGTTTTTTCGATTCGTATGTGAAGGCGCTCCACATCTGCGTGCGCATGCGGTTCGACTGGCATCGAGAGAGAGAGAGATGGAGAGGAAACCTCTCTGGAGTGTTTCCTCGGCAGCCGCGTTGCTCTCTCTTTACGTGAATCGTGCCGAGATTCTTCCCACCCCCACCCACCACCACCCCGCACCGCTTTCGGAGAGCCACCCGGCCGATGTGTAATGGGTAATCGTGCGGAGCGTTGAAAAGGTCTTCGCGTAATTAGACCATGGAGATGGGCCCTCTGTGCCTCGACACTAGGGGACCCCCCCTACCCCTTGCGTGTGTGCGTATGAAGAGAGTGTACAGGTTTTGGTGCTTTAATTAGACAAGGACCTTTTGAGTGAGTAATTGCTCGTAACAGTCGGGTGATTTTTTTTTTTAAAAGGGAACAGAATCCAGAGCGGTGATTAGGCGTCCACCCGGCGGTGTGTTTGATAGCGCGGGGTTGTTGTTAATTCGGGTTGTTTCGCGACGTTGTAGGAATTCGATCTCAACCCGGCTTTGTGAGTCACGTGGCGGCGCTACCGCTGTCGGTGGCGCGCGGTTCACAACGGCGACAACAAAACGCGACGCATTCGTCGCGAACGCGACTTTCAAGGAAAACCGTGTGGAAGTCGGTGACGGTTTTGGGCGATGGAGCTTCTTCATAGCACCGCTCTATGCGGCGGCGGCGGCGGCGGCGGTGGTGGTGGCAGTGGTTGTAGATGAGTTCCAAACAAAACGAACGCACAAAGCGAAACCGCACAGGGAGACGGCTGCCTGCTGAGTAGCGCGCACAGTACCCACGCACACACGGTACACACGGTACACACGGTGCACACGCACACACGGTACACACGGTACACGCGCACACACGGTACACGCGCACACACGGTACACGCGCACACACGGTACACACGCACACACGGTGCATGCGCGCACACACGGTACACGCGCACACACGGTACACGCGCACACAAGGTACACGCACACACAACATTGTTCCGCGTCCCTACCTCATAACTGCACGTAGAGTGAATTCAAACTGCATAATATCGCCATTTTTTTGGTGGGTAGACAGGTCTTGCCCCGTATGGTAAGCGAGATCGCACGAGCGAGGGGGGGGGGCGAGGGTGACATCGGACGTAACATTTGCCCGGCGCGTTACCTCCCCGCCCACCCCCCAGGTGGCGGAGCTGCAGCGCTTGGACTCGAGCTTGCGCGAGCTCGTCAACAAAGCGGGCCAGGACGCAGAGCGCCTCGTGCAGTCCAAGCTCGCAAAGCAGCCGTACCTGGAGGCCGAGAAGCTGAACACAGCCAAGCGCCAGGAGGTGGTGCTCAAAATCGACGGAATCCTGGACGCGCTGTGATGATGTCACTCCGCTTCCCCCCCCCCCCCCCACCCCACCTCTCGCTTGACTCGCGGGAGCCGGTCCGGCCCTCAAGTCCTCGCGTCTCTTTGCTCGCCCGCTCGCTCGCTCGCTCGCTTGCCGGTCGACGCGGTGCTCATGGTTAACGGGGGGGGAGGGGGGCGTGGGTGTGTTTTGTTCAGAGGTCCCTCGTTTTGGCAGAGCGTCGCACCGCTTGCCTGCCGGCTTTCTCCGAAACGGCGGCGTACACAAGGGGAACGTTTCTTTACGCGGGCGTGTGGGGGGGGAATGGGGGCCAGGCGTCTGAATTGCGAGCGCTTTAAATTTGCGATGTCGTTACGTTCTTTCGTTTGCGATCGATTATTTTGACGTGGTGAAATTCGTATCCAAATTGCACGAGGCGCAGTTTCATCGGTCGTTTGAGTCCACGATGAGGTACTTCGCTCATTTGCGGTTTGAATGTACGTTGCCCATCTCTGCGTCGAAGGCCGGTTAAGTCGTCACGAGGTGCAGTGACGAGATGGTGAGCGTGTGGGGGCGTGATTCTGGATTTGTTTTTTTTTATTTTAGTTTTCTTGAAAATATTTTTTTTGTATCCTTTCCCACAATTGTGTTATGATTGTGCCGTTGGCATCGTAACCACGAGACGAATAAACCTTGTAACGATACCAAGAAATATCCGTTCCGATCTCTTGCAGCGAGCGGTGCATCACCCTGTGTCAGAGAATGACCCCCCCCCCTACCCCGCCCCGCAAGATGACGTCGGAGAACTTCTGTTTATTAAGCTCTTTTTTTTTATCCACGTTCACTCACGTTTAGTCTTGCTTGATCGAGTGAACTCGAGACCAGGGTGCGTCTCGTTTGCGCGAGTTAACTAGTGGCACGGCGGAATATTTTTTTTCGGACTCCTGCAACAGAGGCGTGCGTGCTTGTTTCTATATTGGTCACGCGTGAAGTTTCTCACTGTATCTTTCCATAACTCACCTTTCGCTTCCCCCCGCCCCCCCCCCCAAACTAAAACACGTGGAGCCAGCAGTTGTGCCTCAGTACTCCAGCTCAACCACGCCCTGTTGACCGAACCACCGTTGGCCGTCGACGCCGTTACCTCCTCGCTTTCTCGCCTTTTTCGAATGCGCACAAAAGGTACCGTTTGAAAAAGAAACCAAAAAAAAATCATCGCCCTTTCGTTTGACGTCCACCGCCCGGGGAAAACAACAACAACGCCGCCGCCGCCGGCCGTCGTTGTGCGCTGCCGCACGAGCGACGGGGTCTCGTAGAGCCGCACTTTTCACTTGCCACGAGAGTCGTTTTCGTCTCGTTACCCGGGCGCGCCACGGCGTTACGGTCTTCGCGGTGAATGTCGCACACGCCCAAGTTTTTCTCGTGCGAGGCGGCGAGCGGTGTAACAGGTGTGTGTTGGTTGCAGCGTGCCCCCCCCCCCCCTTTCCTTTACCCCCTCCCCCACCACCACTTCAGCGACTCGATGATTTGTCAAGGTATTGTCACAATTGGATTAAAGAATCGATTCTTATTGTCATTGTGCACGTGTGTGTGTACGCAAGCCCTCCTATTGGCTGCAGGGTTCACATGTTTCAATCGCGCAGCCTGTTTTAGACGATGACCAGCCCGTTAACATATGTAGGCTTTAGCGACCAACATCCATAATAGAGATAATAGGGTTTTTTTCCAAAACACCGGTGAGTGCCGAATTAGTAACGAATTGTCCATGTTTTGTTTACGTGACAAACCTTATTTAATTGTCTTGTGTCGGGTGGTGGTGGGTTTAACGACATTCATATTTACCCGATCTAACCCAAAAATACCCTCGTGACCAGCCCTTGGTGTGAATGGAGGCAGTCAAATGCCGTGTCGGGCCAGGAGGGGCCGATTGACCATACACCAGTTTTAACACGACCAATATCCATAAGAATATTTTTGGGTTAGAGCGCGTGATATATTAATGTGTCGTTAAACTTGCCACCACCCGCCATTGCCAACTAGTGAGGGTTGTCACGTAAACAGAACGTGGCCAATTCGGCACGAGTTCAGCACACCGGTGTGTTGTGGCTTGGCTCTCCAACACAGCCATAGGCTGGGTGGGATTCGAACTTGGGTTGCCAGGTCCGTAGCACAGTGGGCTAACGACTGCACCACCACTCCACCCCCATGGTGCGGGGAAGAGTTCTCGCACGTATCGCGAGCACAATATTGGATGTTGGTCTCTTTTCTTTTGTACGTGCTGAGCTAACGCGTTGCGCCGGCGATGCAGTGTGTGGTAAATACGAAACGGTGGCTCCTTTCTAAATGATGTCGTGAAGCAGCAGGCCTTTTAAAGCGCCGCCGCATAGAGCTCCGGATCCGCAGGTTGCCGCGACCCCCCCCTGGTCATTACCAAAGCACCGTTTTGTCCCCCGCTTGCCAAGTGCATGCACAGTAACGAGGTGGCTCACGAGGAGAAATTTCCGTAGATGTTTTGTTGTCGCGGGAATTAAACGTTGGTGTTGCGTTCGCGTCGTTTAAAGCACTCGTCTCAACGCAGCGTTCTCTCCCGACAATTCGGGCTAAATTTTTCTAAATAAACAGCTGATAGACGAACTATTGAAAGCCGTTTGTTGACTTGCTACAATCAAAAGTACTTCGCATCCCACCGATACGGGCTCCTTCAATTTAAAAGGCGTGTAGTTCAGCTTTTACTGGTTTTTATTATTTTTCACTGCACCATTTCAACTGCGCTGTGTATGCAGCTACAGATTTTTCAAAATAATTTTTGTGTTTTTTTTGTTAAATTCGTTTTTGGAATTCTTAACCAAAGTGTAAATGTTTATTAACCAAAACTCTTGTGATCGTGACTGTCCCATGCCCGATTGGACGTCTTAATTTTTTTCTATTTTCCCCAGTTCTCTTCCAATTGTGCAGTTTGTTGGCATCACGTCATTGGAACGAAAAAAATACCTCAATTCGGCACTCGAGCAGAGCAGTGCCTCCACTCCTGTAATCCAGAAGGGCTTCCGGAAGGAGCTGTCACAACTACATCTGAGATGCACTCAACGGATCATCTCCACACGAGGGAGGGGGCGCTGCACTTTCCGACACACCCCCTGCCCTGTAGATGTTCGTCACGTGGAAGTCGAACTGAAATTTGTATATATCCATCATCACAGCTGGAATTTTCATGCATTCACTGAAAATCCAAATATAATGATGCTTTTTTTTCGCGCGCGGCCATCAGTGACGAGGCCGAGACCACCAACTCTCCACTCGAGAGCCCGGTTTAATTACAAAAGGTGGGTTTAGACGGATATTTTTTTTCACCCAGGATTTTATCAGGACCCATACTCAACCAGTGGTGTGACTCCGCCGTCAGCTGACCGCGGCCCATTTTATCTGCATTGCGTTTCGTTGCGAGGCTGCTTTGAAGTCAAGATTTGGGCATCGATCGTTCACCAGTTGCCGATCATTGAGTGTTCCCTTTACCCCACGTGGAGAAGAACATTTAAACCCAACAGAGGTTGTTTCCTGCCAAACGTCCGTATCACCATCGTTCATCCCAATGATACTTTTGTTGTCTGTTCCGTTGTCAATTTTATGGAATTGAAGTCGGGGGTGGGAGGTCTTACGTAAACAAATGAAAAGGTCGGCGCCTGATATCGCGTGCGTTTCTCGCTCATAGACACAGACTCGTGCCTTATGGACTGCCGTGCAGGGGTTCCTAGCCAGAGGAGTCTGCAGGCAAGTGGTTTGAAGACGTCGTAAATGCTGCAGATGGGGATATTGCGGTGCTCTCGCGTCTCCGCTACCTGGAGCGACGTGGTAATGCGTTTTAATAAAAAAAAATATCCCGGCAGGCATCGCGTGGCGATTCATGACCGCCACGGTGATGGCTTTTGCGAAATGAATCTCTGAATTGCACCGCATCGTGCGACGGGAGAAGTGTCCTGCGGTGTCTTTTTGCAGAGACGACAGAAGCTCTTTCGCATATCCTGGGTTCAAGACAGGTGCACGATGCTGATGCTCACCATAGCAATTACCTGCTATGCGGGATGCCATGGGTTAGATCTCGACCCTGACGCCTGCTGTATATTTGGAGTTCGCGCGCGCATGTGTGTATCTCTCCCCGTGATCGCGTGGATTTTTTTCTCCGGGTCGTCCGGTATTTCCGTCCACATTTAGAATCAACATCACGCGTTTCGAGTATTTGGCTGCTAGACATTCCCACATGAGCCGCTTCGTTGAGCTATCATTTGTGGCCAGGTCGCTTCTGAAAAAGAGGTAATTGCTTATTGGGCTTTACCTGGTTTCAGTAAAACAAACATCTCGAGTTTTAATTTCGCTTTATTATTTGTGCATTGTGCACCACTGCAAAACCCAGCAGCAGCATCGCCGTATAATTAGTTACACGCGTCATTGTTTACCATAGCTTAACACCAGAGTCTCGTATTCACAATTGGATCATCTCTTTGTGTTTTTTTTTTTAACGGGGCCCTCTGGGGGTCCCCTATGACGCAGTTGCTGGCACGCGTTCAGACTCGGCTGTAGGGCGGCGGCGGGGGTGGGCGGGATTTGTCCAATTTCATTAGTGCGGTGTTAAATCAGTTGCGGCGTTGTGTCCCAATTAAACCATCAATCGCACATTGGGCACAATTTAAATCGACGCACTCTGGGTGGGAAAACCACTTGAGCAACGCTTCCCGCCAAGATTAATGAGGTTTTTTTTATGGTATAAAATAAAATCAACTCGCCCCCACCCTACCCCCAACCGCTGATCCCTCCTCCCCTTACAGACACCCCTTCTACGAGGGTAAACCTTTTGCGCTGGCCGCCGCATTACGACATATGTACAACGTGCAGTGATTGATGAACCTTGGCTGTCGACAGGGTGGTCCAGATGTCTTGTGACCCTACATTTAATTCATTTAAAACGTAATATATGTATTTAAAGTAAGGTTGGTTTAAAAAAAAACAAATACGCGATGGGAAAAAAATTTGTTTAGGGGTCCAATTAATTTGGGGGGGGGGGGGGGGGTCACAAGACATCGGCACCACCCTGTATAGTGCTGATATTATTTACACAGTACACGGTAAATATATTAAATATTTTTTATTGATCCAATGCCGGTTGAAATAACAATTACAGCCTGTAACGACTCGGGAGGCGCGAGGAGGAAGGCACGGAACGAGCGGCAAGCCGGACGGCAATAATTAGCCAAGCTCCGCGGGCCTCTACATATTGAGATGTATCAAGTATGTGTTCACATCTGGGGGGGGGGGGGCACGCGTACGTGGGGGAAGCACCCCCACATCCCATACAGACGGGAACAGGTGGGGGTCCACATTTAGCTGTATCGCCTTCTGGAAAGCCCTGGGCGAAATGTTGACTACCTCGCCCGGTGTACAGGAGGCCGTGGCTTAATCCGGCCTTGATAGGTGCTCGCTAACGGCACTTGCCCCAACGGTCTGTTGAGGCTACACGGGGGATCTTTGTCTTTGCCGCATTAATGACAACCGCCGTCTTCCACTCGGTGGCGGTGACGCCACCACAGCGATGTGCCAGGCAGGGTGCACTTTGAGGCCACGTGGACCACCGAAGGCTCTCTGCTGACAGGAGATCACGGGGCAGACGCAGGTGTTTTGGCTTGCCTGAGATGACTGCCGGATGTGGTAAGTAACAAAGATAAA